ATAAACATGGGAGCAAGATATTCTAGTAATCACCGCTACACTCGTTAATTCATCAAGACAGATCAAACATTTATTGCCGCCACCACCACTAAACATCTCCTTTTCAGCCTGGAACAACCTCACAGGCTCAACTTCAAGAAGCCCTCTTAGTTCGTGAATCACAACCCCTCTCGTCGGAATATACCCCTTTTTGCCCAAAATTTTTTCTTATAATGGCCAAATAGAACTCCACGTCTATGCTATAACTATCATTCGGGTCATCCTTTACTTCCTCTGTATCGTAATCTATGTGGTGATCTGAAATCGATGATGAGTCGGAGTCGTATCCTTATTAAAGGAGAAAAGAGTCGGAGTCGTATCCCCATTGATGGGGAATAGGAGGTAACGTTTGCGCTATAACTATCATTTGGGTCATCCTCTACTTCCTCTGTATTGTAATCTATGTGGTGAACTAAAATCGATGATGAGTCGGAGTCGTATCCCTATTTAGGGAGAAAAGAGTCGAAGTTGTTTCCCCATTTAGAGAAAAAAGAGTCGGAGTCGTATCCCCATTTAGAGAAAAAAAATCACAAACATCCAACCCACTGAGACACAACAGATCTAAAACATAGTCAAAACAAATCCAGCAACCCCCAGACAACTACCCAAAACCAACACCAAAACACTCAAGGCAACGGCCTTGACAGCAACCCAAATCATCAACTGGTTTCGAAAAATTGTGTAGCAAAAAACTGAGACGGAGACGATTTGGAGTTACACGATTCACCATTTTGAGCACCAGATTTATCAAAGGAGTCTGATTGATGACTTACCACAACACCATAAGATAACTGTTCTTGATGCAAACAGAACTCTGGTGGAACCACCATTGCTTTGCGTTTCTTCCCACTTAGATTACGAGTATCTTGAGAACCACCTAAAGTATTTTGTCATCACTTTCGACCTTTTTGCGCCGGGAAAGATCCCTGACTTTGAGAAGAGGCCGAACTAGCAGATTGTCTCCCTATAGATAACTTTGCTAGCTCCTTACCTTTCAACCAAGCCTTAGTCATTTGATCCCATCGAGTCAAAGGAAAAATCCTTCCCTTAACTTGGGAGCTTATAGGATCATATTATATGGGTCCCTCAATTTGTGCGGATGCCACATGATATTGAGATAAAGAGCCTTGTACCATTCGTCCATCCTGGCCATGGATAGCAGCATCAATCAGAACAAACTCTTCAGCTAGCTCTTTCCCCTTGAACTCTTTCTTAGCCAAACCATGGAGATCCACATTACCAGTAGAACAGTCCTCTCGACCATCACCGGCAACCAACATTATTTGCCAACACACGATAGATAAAGCCACCGTCGCATTATCCAATTTATCCAAATGATTATTTCCTTGACACACATCAAGAGGCCCAAACAGATGGTGAGACTCACGCAGCCACTACGGCAAAACAATGAGGGGAAGAAAAGGACTTAGGTATCATAGTCTTTTCTCCACCATCCGAGTCCCCATCGTCCACATAAAGCCAATTTTTGCCACGACCATTAACAGAAGAGTCAACCTGATCAGTGTCTGGATCTTTGCTAAGAAATCCTTCTACCTTAACCACAACCCATACTCCTTCAAATCCGCATGAGAGAGATTTGTGCCAAACGGGCAACTCTTCTAGTGATGACCAATAATCCCAAAAGCAAAACGGAAGGAAGGAAGTTTCTCATATTACACTTGAGCCCAAAACTTCGAACCCGAAGGGCTTGTTAACAAAATATGACGTTGAAGAGGTTTAGTAATATCCAATTCGATTTTTAAGCGAAGAACCCTACTATCAGCTAGCAATTTCTCTTTGCCTTCAAACATGCCCTTATCTTGTAGCTCCACTTTTAAGCATCGGCCCAAATTATCAGCAATCCGTTGTCCCACTTTTGCGGAAAGAAAATTGGCGTGCACATCAAAAATTTGAAGCCAGAAAGATGAAAGATGAAAAAGGGGAATCAGAGAGAAGCAAACATTCCTCCCATTCCTTAATCATGAGCAGACGACCATTAAACATCCACGTGTAACCATTTATAATTCGTTGGCGAACAGAGCTTTCATTGATGATGCTTTGGAAAAGATTCCCCGCAACCTTAGACACCTTAATGCACTTAGACAGAGTCTCCTATTCGTTCCTTTTTGCCGATAATTTGTTGAACAGTTTGCCAAAGGTATACTTTGCCCCTGCCAAAGTAGTAGTTTTTGAGACCCAGATCTTACCATAACGACACAATTGAACGCTTTGAGCAATATCATCAACCGATAAGAAAATCGACATATGCGACATATGCACTATATCCGAAGGAATATAGTGAAATTGGCTAAAGTAAAACGAAACCAGGAATAACGACATATGCGACATAGCAAATCTAGCATTAAAGACACAGTTCAAACTACAGATAGATCGAAGAAACACTCACCAATAACACCCCCAAGAGCAAGACCTAACACAGAACACTCTGATTGGACAGAGAAACTCTGAAACACAGAGACCCCCTACAATGAGAGGAAACGAAAATTTTGCTAATATTTGTTCCCTATTAAAATATGAGATGAATTTGAGTTATTCATATGATCATAGTCAATCTCCATATTAAAATATTAAAGTGATTTTTAATTAGTTTTATAATAAATTATTTCTAAGCACAATTTTTTTTTTAAAAAAACATAATGAAAATTATAAATAAATTCATAAAAATATAATTCTCTAAACTATTAACATACAGTGAATTAAAATTTTTAAGAAAAAGAAATTGAAATATGAATAAAAGTATTATAATTTGAATATTATATATATAAAAGAACTTAAATTCAGATTATAGTTTATTCTAATTAAATTTGGATTGAAAATTTTCAAACTAAATTCAATCGCAAGTGTAAAAATAATTTGTCCAAAATCCAAATAGATGAAAAGTTAGGCTAAGTTCGGGTTGGGCTGCAGTTCGCCCACCCAATTTGCATCTTAGCTATATCTACTAATATATTTTAGTAGTTTTCTCCTTTTCTTGTTACAATATTTCAAAAATAAAAATGTTCGTGTCTTCAAATGATTGGTTAAACAAAGACATGAGAATTAAGACATACCAGGCGCGCGTTGTTTCCTTATTTTTGCATAATTGGTTTTGTGTTACAGGCTATATAGCACGGACACGAAACACAAATACGTCAACACACAGCTTGGATATGACAATATAAATATGAAATTTTAGTTATATACATGTACTGAGTAATGGTATTATAAAACTTTAATTTATTTCTAATTTTTATACTAAGAGTTATAATGACTTTTATATCATATATACACACACACACACTTATTCCACTTTTATGACATAGTATTTTTATTTTAAATGAACAAATATCATTTAATGTTTTGATTGTAGTCATATGCATATAATGTCAATTTTTCCCAAACAAAAAGTGGAACACTTTAAAATGTGTTAATATTATTTTTCAAGATTGCTGAGTAGGATTGTATTAGAAATGTTTGAAAGTTTCGGTGAAGTGTCTGAAAGTGTATAAAAATAATAAAAATTTATTTTTATTTACAGACGCGTATATGAAATGTCGGACAAGTGTTCGAGGAGTGTTGGTGTCTAACACGAACATGACACGATACGGGTACGATTCCTTCGTAGAAGTGTCCCGTGCTTCATACGTTATAAGTATTCCACATTAGATCTAAATGAGAAAGTAAATGAGTATATATGAGTTAGATGTTAGCCCACCTAATAGTTTAAGGTTTTGGGTCAGATTGTGAAACACTACCTATTATAGTTGATATCAGAGATAGACCCAGTCCATAATCTAGTGTCATAACAAGAGTTCGACCCGAAGGCATTCGGGTCTCCACCGCGGGTAGGCAAGGTGGCCTAACAGTAACAAAAGTGTTGCGAGATCGAGTGGAAGAAAATGTTACAAATGTCCCACATCGAATCTGAATAAAAAAGTGAACGAATATATACATAAATTAAGTTTTAGTTTTGCCCAATAACTTAAACTTTTAGATCTTATGGATAAACACCCACATATTATGCTTGTCCATTCAATGGCTCTTTCCTTTATTTTTTTTCAAAAATAAAATTGTACCTGCTCCTAATTAAATTTCAAGTTTAACCTTCATATTTATATTGGTCCAATTTGATTTTTATATTATTTGACCTAACTTTATCCTCAATTCATTTAGTCCACGTGGGAAGATCTTTCATGTGAATAGGTCGGCCAGAGTCTTCAATTAGTTCTATTACTTGTCATTTGCCTGTGTGACTCTGCCCACTTCAGATTTCAATTGCCTTCCAAGTTCCAACCACAATATCTATATATATATTAAAAAATATTGTTAGAGTGATTAAATAAAATCAATTAGCTAGTCGATTATGGTGACTGGTGACATTGTCGAATGCATTTTTGTAGAGGTTTTTTTGGTTAGTTAAATGCTCACGCACAATAAATGTACTCTTTGGGTTCAAACACATTTAAAGGAGGAATGGTTATTATTCAAGTATTAGCTAATCTAATAATTCCCTGATATTTCGACCACAATATAATAATCTGAATTAATAAAAGGGTATATAAGAAGAGACAGTATAGTATCATAACTGACTTCATTTTTCTTCTCGAAGTAGATAGTTATTATTGATTTTTTTTTTTTAATTTAATTTAATTTATTTATGATCCTTTGGTATTTTAACCATAATATAACAGTCTAAATTAATGATCTAGTGGTATTTCTAAGACGTGCTAACAAGTCAATATTACTCGTGATTGTTTCACCTAAGGCATTGGATGTAATGGGACATCCTTTTCATCAGATGAGATATAAAAATTACATTGTTGTGATTGTTCCTACAATAATTTTTAAATTTATTAAGATTTCATTTGTTTCAATGTAAAATATTTTTCTTTTTTAGATAAAATATTTTTTATTTTTCGATGTTTGACAAAGATATAAGTCAATGTTAAGGTAGAGTGAGACATATAAAATAACTTGTCCATACTTGTCATAATTTAATACTAGTACAATATATTTACAATTGAGGAATGTTAGGTTTGGCGACAACCAACCAATGCACACTCACAGCCTACGTTTGAATTCACCACTCACAACCGTGCTCAGCCCCAAGAAATTGCTCGAGTCACATTGCCTACAAAAACAACACTGTTTGAGATATGGCTGCTATTTGACCCTAATATATATATATATAGAGAGAGAGAGAGAGAACATCTATTAATTTCCTCAAGAACTGTAACTATTACAGACAGATACAAAAGCCCTTCAGTTTATACAATCATGTTGATCCATATGTATTTTTGCAAAAAGACTGTACACTTGCAAGGTTACTGTACTTCACAATACAGTCATTAATTTCTTGGTAAAACAAAAGCTCACATTTTATCCAGTTTTGCATTCAATCTGGAAATCAGCATATCCTCTTCCGCACAAAATATCTTTCTAGTTCAGTGTTTCTATACCTTTAATGTATTCTGACATTGCACAAAGTCTCTTTCTAGTACAGCTTTTATATACCTCTAATATCTTTTGTGATTTAAAAACTAATTCGAGAAATGGTGAACTTGCAGGCGCCAAAAAAATTGCAATTTGATGAACTAAAATATTCTTCCAGCAGCGAACCTACAATTGACGCCCTCCAGAATATGGCCTTGCGGATATGAATTTTGACGCCAGCATAACTCACTGAGTCGGAACCGGTTGGAGATCTCTGAGCAGCCTACAAGTTATACCATTCACAAGAAAATTGTAAATTCTCAGTTCAGTTTATTCAAATAAACAGCAGATCCTAGAAAACTTATACCTTCAAAAACTTCAGAGCCGAAACCATCACTGTTATTTTCAGACTGATCTGCTGCAAGCCCAATATTGGAAGTTGATACATTTGAGTAATTCTTTTGAACATTTTCATTATGAATGTCCAGCAACAGAGGCTCCTTAGACTTCCATGCCTTTTTCCTAGTCTTTATATGTTTAACTGCACCATCTTTTTTCCGAATTCATTAAGGAGATGAAAGAAACTGCCTGCGGGGCCATTTTTAAGCAAGGAGCACTAAGAAGCTTGAAAACTTACCAGCATCTTTTCCTTTTGCATGAGCAACTAAATTCATAAGGCAAAGAGCAGCGTCTACTTCGTCTAAACCATATACTCTCACTATGTTTACCTGGTGTTTGGACGGAGATTCATAATCAAACAATATATAATCAGAAGAATCAACTTTATGGAGCAAACTTATGGGTTTGCCTGAAAATCCTCAATGGAAGGGAAAATGATGTGTTAGTTCAACAAGAACCATTAAAAATGACAACACCTTTTTTCTTTCTTTTTCCCCCCTTCCTATTATTTTCAAAACACTCTGCATGCATGTGTCAGACAAAATAAAAATTAACCAAAGGAATAAATAATATAATAAAAAAGAGAGAGAAAGAAATTAGCCATTTGGTTGTTTCATTGTTTCCTTCTTTAGGGCAAGGACGAGAAGAAACATACATCAAAAGCATTTAATCACTGTGGACATGATTGAGCCACGTCATCAAATATTCAAATCAACCTGACATCACCAAAATGTCAACTTCAAAGGAAGAAACAAAAAGACAACGTGGCCAACACTTGGTCGATACAAGAGCCCCAGCAAAAGCAAACAATCGATCAATGAACCCAGTTTGGGACCTACAATCGGTCGATGGGCCTTGGACCTCGATCCAAGAAAGCCATGAACTGTCAATCGATGGGCCTTGGACCTCGATCCAAGAAAGCCATGAACTGTCGATCGATGGGCCTTGGACCTCGATCCAAGAAAGCCATGAACTGTCGATCGATGGGCCTTGAACCTCGATCCGACCAAGCCATGAACTGTGGATTGATGGACCTTGGACCTCGATCCGACCAAGCCATGAACTGTCAATCGATGGGCCTAGAACCTCGATCCGACCATGAATTGTCAATCGATGGGCCTAGAACCTCGATCCGACCAAGCCATGAACGACAGTCGATCAATGGGCCTTGAACTGCAATTCGACTGAGCCATGAATTGTCGATCGATGGGCCTAGAACCTCGATCCGACCAAGCCATAAACTGTCGATCGATGGGCCTTGAACCTCGATCCGACCAAGCCATGAACCGTCGATCGATGGGTCTGAACCTCGATTCGACCGAGCCACTTCCTAGCAAAAGAAATGAACAGAGAGTAATGGTAGGACTCTTCGAGGCCAGTGGGAATGCAAAAAGGGACTTTGGAATGGAGGACGGAAAATTAGCTAAGTCTTGCTAAGGCAGGACCCAATTTGAGGATAAGGACGAAAAGACAAGCTGGAGTAAGTACATCACCTTTACAGCTACCCTCTATTTGGGTCATTCAAGGATATACGTACACTTGGCAACAAGACCAAAAGAATATGGATTAGGGCCTCATGATCCATAAAGGAACATGGGCCCCGACTCATCTGATCTGGGGGCCCAACATATACCGCCTGAATGACCTAGAACTATAAAAAGGGGAGGTGGCAAAGGCAGAGCAGGATTCGGACCTGGATAGTACTCCAGACTTTGTCTTCTCTACCATCGTCTACAGTCCTCAGACTGGGCTGATTTTCTCTCCTTAATCCACTCTTCTGTATTCCTCATATTGTTTTAGTGATATATCTCAGATACTTTGACCATTTAGCTATCATCGAAAAAGAGGTACATACAATCACAAAGCCAGAAAACAATATTAATACTATCTTATCATTGAAATACACAGGTCACTGGATTCCCCTCATCCCACTTAATTCAGTTTGATCAACTGATATTAATGATTCTTCTACTTTCTTATTTTTCTTATATTCATCCATGGCAGATTTTCATCACCAGATCAGTGTTTTACTAGGATTTTCCTCATCTAAACTTTTTGTACTATACACTAATTCACGCCTCTTCCTTTATGACATTCATTTTGCAGTCCAATCATACATCTTTTCGAGACACAAAATATTTCTTCCAAGTCATTCAATTTTGATATGTGGAATATAACTCAACTCAATTGAACACCACCTTTTCCAAACTAATTGATAATAATTGAATAAAAGCATAACAGGATCTCCAAGTGTAGAGTCATCTATAACAATTACAAAAGAAAAATAAAGGCAGCTACCTTTAATTTGCAAGATCCAACCAATTGGAATACCACATGATCTCCCTTGAGTAATCTGTGAGCCATGGAAAATGCCCTCCATCCACCACTCAGTCCATGCCTGTTCACTAAATAATTTGTTTCGAACTCTTCCCCACATTCATCCACCAAAGTAACTGTGGTATCATGCCTTGGCAAATGTACATAGCAGAATTTTGCAGGAAGAATCTGTCATAAGAAAAGTCAGCACAAAGAACTCTGCCAAGCACTCTAAATTATATCAAATTCTTGACGATATAAGAGAATTGTGGGCTTACAAGCCAAAAGCTATATGCAACATTTGAAGGTAGCATACACTTAGCAAAGCAAGGGAAGTCAGCTGCTAGATTTGTCAAAACCTCTTCTGCCCGGTCCATTACAGAAAACTTAGCTTCCACATTGTCATACAAGTCATCAATCTTTGTCCTCTTCTTTTTACAGCTTTAATCAGATCATACAGGCAGCACATTATTATATAATTCAATGTCCAATAACATTTTTCCACCTTAAAGAAGAAGAGAAATGCCATTCCAAATAACTCACCAACCTTCCAGATTTCCCCAGTTTTTTTGAAATTACCTGCTCAAAATGCAGTAAGCTCATTGTATTAATCAAAAAGAGACAACATCATCCAATTCATTTAAGACATGTTTGTATATCGGATAGATATAAAGTTGCCCAGTTGCATTTTTATAACTAAATATAGATAAGTTTTCATTATAACAAATTTGGCTCAAACATTGAACGGCAAGGATCAAAACATGTAAACAGGCGTCATTCAAACATAAAATCATAAGATACTCAAATTTTTACTGCTCTGCCAAATAATGTGTAAAATGCATTGTAATTCACTGTACAAGGATTTTCTCTGATTGATAAAAGAAAAAAATTGAACTATTAACCAAAACCAGCCCTTTGGATGTCATACCAACACTTTTAATCAAATGTGTCACAATGACTTTGACAACTCTAATGAGAAATAGGCTATTTTGAAGGAAAATGACTTAACAGAGCTTCTCATGGCCGCGGGGGAGGGCGGTGCCTAATGTCCCTCCCCATTGAAAAAGCCTCCTCCCACAATCAAACCAGCCCCCATCACCACCATTGCGCATGTGGAGCACTTATCTTCCTTTTAGTGAGTGTGCACATCGTCTTTATGTTACCCTACCCGTGTGTGTGAGTTCGCACCCCCAAGCCAAACATCTCAAATTTTTTTATTTTGCTGCTTGTGCATTTGGAATGTGTGTTTTTACACTTGCAGATGTGTCTGAGGAAATAGTTGAGAAATCCATTTCAACTTCACCCTCCACCTTCCTTCTTTGGATTATTCCATAAATTTTAGTCCTGTTACTTCCAATTAATGGCTTCCCAATCTCAAGCCACGGTCCCTCTCAATAATCTCACACTGATACCCTTCTTTTAATCAAGAGATCCGTAAAGCAATAATTGGATCAATAAACAAAAATTCATTAATTTAATCAAACGTTTTGCAATCAGGAACGCATCTTATGAAAGAAATAAGGTACCAATATAGCTATTCACTTTGGATGAGCACCTAAAAAAACTGGTAGATTATGACAGCTTAGCTGAATTTGCTCACCGGCAAGATCTGATCCAGCAGCAATAAACTACACTTTGACAAATAAAAAAGATATATATATATATATATATATATATATATATATAGCGACTGAATAATTGATAGGCATATTGTTTATGAGAAATTTCAAGCAGTTGCAAGAGGTTAGGTGTTCAAACTTTAGGGGTTAATTTTCATCTCAGATTTATGGACTGAACAATTGAAAATAAAAATCACAACCATAAATATAGAAAGTAGAAACCAATGCCTGACAAGACCACAATCCAGAAAATGAAAGTAAAAAAATCATCACACAATGCTTCCATATACTCACAGTTAGAAACTTAGAATCTATTATTTATGACAGAAGTCAAGAAAATTTTCATTATCTAGAGGAGGCCTTTGGTGAGCAAAAAATTTTCAGATCAACTCAAATGGTAGTTTCTATAAAAATAATAATAATAAAAAATAAAATCTCACTTGCTTAGCGTTTTTAGATTTGAGAGTTGAACGCTTTTTCCTTTTGATCCTCAAAGGCGGCTTCCGCTTAATCTGAACCAACAGATTCATAATTATTAAACATATATATAAATATAGATCGATATATACACACAAATGGACCTATATATATATATAGAGACCTTTGGAGAAGAATCGACGAGGTTTGGTACAGAGACAGAAGAGTGAGAATAAGCCATGTACTCTTCTTCTTCAATACAAGTTTGAGTTTCGTGGTGTTGTCGCATGACTTCCTCTTTCACCTTCTTCGCTTCCATGAGTTGGTTCAACTTTTTCTCTCCTCTTTTTCAAACTTACTTCGTATAGAAGTGTGCTTATATATATATATATCTATGTTATACACGTATAGGCGTACGTATAGAGAGAAGAGAGAGAGAGAGTTGTAAAGAGACCAACCCTGCAAATGGAGACAGGCGAATTGGGGGCGGACAAAAAACAGCTGTAAATCGACGCTCTTCTTTTGTTTCCTATCGTGGGACCCACTTTTTTTTACCCGCGTTTTGCGGTGCCTGTAATAAGTATATTTATGTTCAGCCATTTTAGATTTTCCACCAACCAACACCAACTATAGTTGTACGTTTTCAGATAAAAAGTAAATAATAAGTAATAACGTTTTATATAAAACATTTAGAAAATAATACCAAATTATATCAATAACTTAATTCTATATGTATATGTAATATTAAGATAAATATAATTCACATAAAGTAAATATATACTTAATTAAAGTTTAAAATTAGACAAATGATCAATATGTGCCTTTTCAATTACTAAAATGAATAGCAGATAGGATGCTTGTTTTCAAGGCAGACGAAGAATTATAACATGGTCCGTCCCTACCAAATATGGGGAAATTAATAATAGACATAAATTTTTTTTTTTTAATTGGTACTCAACATGATTTAACTGTTGTGTAATTAAAAAATTAAATAAAGTTGACGCATTTGGTTAGTAGGACTTTTAATTTTTCGTCTTTCCAATTAAATAATGCTGGCACATTGAATAAAGTTGAGATGTTTGATTAGTGGGTCTCACCAACCAAACACGTTAATTTTATTTGCGTCGATCCCACTAACCAAACACTCCCACTAACCAAACACTCGTTAACTTTATTCAATTTTTTAGTTGCATGACAACTTTCATTGTTGGAACCGTGTTGATGTAACAATTTCTCCATTATAGACTTACTTCAACCCCAAATGATACAATTTTCTGAACTTCAGTTCATTTGTGGCACATTGATCTACCATATATGATTTAATCTCATGTCATGGTTCTATTGTTGAAGAGAGAGAGGTCATCTTCCCATTACAACTCAATATGCAAACAGTATTTTTTTAGGTCAACTTCTGATAAGGGGTAATCATAATTTACAGACTCCAACCTACCACACAAGTACAAAGTCATGAACCATCAGATCACATATTCACATCTATCCCAAACATGCTCACTCTATACACATTATGTTTCTCCATTCTGCCTGTAAGCTTCATGGCCAAAGCTCACATCATGTTAGATATTCTAGTCAGCCGTACACCAACAAAAACAACTCAGTTGTGATTCTTATGCTTCCTTTTTCCATCTTCTTTGGCAGTTTGAGACTATACTTCTGTCGAAAAGTGCAAAGAAGCATATATGATATAGCCCATCCTTGCCAACTGATAGCTAAGAGCTTCTCCATGATCATCTGAGAAGGTCTTATAATCTCGAGCGGCGAATGCATTTGATGGCTTTTAAAGTTGAATGCTTACGCCCACCAGAAAATTTGATATCCCAGCCTTCAATGTTCTTGGGAACACATGCATCAAAGAGGATTTGACCAAGAATGCTGTGTGCATTAATACTGGGAGGATTTGCCAAATTAACTGTTCGTTCTTTTTGCTCCCCTTGTGAAGGCACAATCTCTCCCCCGTGGTTATAATCGGATGAACTTGGCAAGAAGAAGTGATCATCTGGCCCACGTGCAACTCTTCGGAAGCTCTGGTTTGAGTTACCTGCCACATTCTGGAGGTTGCATATTAACTCGGCTATCTCATCATCATGCATGCCCTCCATGCCAGCTCTTTCTCCAAGTTGTTTGATTTTTTGGGAATAAACTGAAACTGCCTGCTCAAGCAGCTCAGTCACAGCAGCCCTGTATTGGATTGGATAATGCTTGTAATGACCTGCAACAGCATGGAACAACATGAGTTTGATTCTAACCTTTCAAGAACACGGTACTAACAAAGTACTTGAAGCCAGAAAGAATCCATAAGCATAAAATCTACAACGAAGCTAGAACACCCGAACTGAGTCTGGGTCCTTAACTTCTGGGTTATAAGGTGAGCTGCAAGACACAAGATGTAATCTGGGTTATAGGCAACCATTAATACCACAAATTTTAAAACTTGCTATGCCCCAGAATTGACCAACAACTCTCCATTGTGATTTTGTGAGTTGGCCCAATACAAATAATAATCCCTTGGAACCCACTAATAGTGCATCTCAGAAACATTCACACTTTTATTGCTTCTGAAAATTTCAAAATACAGGACTTCCAGGGTCTCATCAATATCAGTTGACTGCGTCCTAGACATATGATTGCTTCTTATTATCCCAAGTTTTGGCAAGGAGGAAATTTACTTCGAATATATATGATTTCTCATCAGATAAAAGAATACATACGATCTTGGTTACTACTGGATCTTCTAGTAAGAAGTTTAAAAAAAAATAAAGTTTATTTAATAATAAGAAAAAAAATTTGAATCTCTTTTCTTGAACATCATCCCAACACAATTTGAAAGAATTCATTTTTCCTTGTTGATGTTCAAAATGAGTTTCATCTTCTGAGCAAAGAGACAATCCCACATTGTCCTTGAGATTCTCATCCTGAAAATTTGTACAATCTCAATTTTGATGGATTTTACCCCAGAAAATTTGCGTGGTCCAGCGTTAGGAGCATCTTCGAGAGACCATGCTAAATCATCACCGCAAATCTGTTCATTGCGTTTTGGCATTGAGGGGTGAATAGAGTAATAACTGACAATCTTTCTATGTAAGGAGCCCCCTTCGCTAACTTTTGGCAGAAGGTTGTCTCATTGGAAATTTTGTTCAAAACCTATTCCCTGCATGCCAGGGTGTTCCCTAACCCATTTTGAGTTCAAAAAAAAAAAAAAAAAAAACCCTACAAAGGACATAATCACATGCAAAACACATCCAAAAACTTCATGCAATTGCCCCAAAATTTCTACCGTTTTCTTTGGGTTAGTTTCTTCTCCTATCATTTGCATATAGTTATGCTCTTTGGTCTTCTTAGAAAGCTGCTTGCGCTTGTGTGAGTGTGTCAGTGTGTGGAGGCGTACATGCATGAATTTTTATATTCTATGCCAGTTTATTTTTAACTTCTTAATATAACATTTAAGGGCCATATTGGATTATTAAGGCAGCCAATGTGACACCCAATACTAAATTTAAAATTTAAAATAATACCACGCGGAAAACAAAAAGTTTAAACTAAGACTTACCTACATGAGGAGAGCTATTCCATTTCACAAGTTTTACAACTCCCCCGAGATCTTGTAAACGCTGAGCAAAATTGCAAATGACTGAAATTGGAGCAAGATCGTCACTTTCTGAGCATAGAATGAGAAATGGGGCCCCCAAACTCTACAAGGAAAAAGAAAAGGAAAATTCACATTAACCAAGAAGAAAAAGACTTTCAAAATCTTTTGAGGCACTACAGACCACAGAACTCACAACTGAGGAGTAGAGAGCCTCCCAATCATCAGTACCCTGGGATCCAAAACTTGTGAGAAATAGGGCATCCAGACCAGAAGCAACACCTTTTGCAACCAATGACACTAGTTTGGCTGAACCAGGCATTCTGAAAACAGTGGGGTGTAGAGCAAAACGGGCACCAAAGTCACCGGTAAAATTGACTGGACCAGAATCATATATGTGAGCGGAGATGCAGTTCTTCACCAAACGACTATCATCCTTCAAAAGAAAAGGAAAAAATAAAGGATGGAAAAATGTTGCAAAGCATGGACTATAAAAAAGATCATATGCATTGACCAACAAATAAGATTACAGTATTCTGCATTTACAAATATATATATATTGACTCACTAAATCACAAGCAGCATTCACGAATAACAAAGCATACCAGATTGAGCTGTGCTTCACATGTGCCCTCAATAATCTGCATCAGGTGTAGGCAAATTATGTTATACACACACATATTTGACACAGCTGAAACAGAAGATTTCATGTTCCAGAATCATTAGAACTACACATTTTTTTTTCACAGGAAAACTTTCAATTAACAGCTAACACCATCATGGAGGCAGTTTGTGTCTATCCAAAATTTTAATCAACTCCTTATAAGCTCCATTGGTAGAGCTCGTGCAAATTTAAGCATGATTACTTTGTTTTCTTTTTCTTTACTGAAACCGTTTCTTTTAGCAGCCCCAATTCCCTTTTTTTGCAAATTCCCAAAGATTTTGTTATATAATAGTGATAATATAAGGTATAACATCATAATAAATAAATTTGTGTCCATATATTAAGCAAAATTTTTTTATACGAGCTACAATAATAAAGAAAAATGGCAGCAGAAAATCTATTATTCTTCCATCCACTGAGAAATACAATAAGAAGAAGTACAATAAGAAGAAGTACGGTTCTTTTTAATTATTCCGTGTCTTGAAGAGACATGATTAATTATTTCCAACCATGCAAAATATTGTCACAACTTACACACTAAATAACGAGGCAAATTCAGTTACCCACATTATGAACTAACCTTGCTGGTAATTTTAAGTTTGTAACTCCCCCTAACTCCCCCCCCCCAAAAAAAATCTTTTTTCTCTTCTCTCTCTTTTTGTTACTTTTTAGAAGAGTGAGCCCTAATAATACACAATGGTGAATAACGTCTCAAAAGTAATTCCCTTCTTTTCTACTAGGATGGTAAAGAAAAAAATTGAACCAAGGTGGTGATGCATGTGTGTGTATATATATATTGACTCTGGCGAGTTTGTCTATTATAAGCTTGACGTTAACAAATGTCCAAACAAGAGATAGGGTATACCTGAAAAAACTTGAACATGCAAGCATTTGAACCACCAGAAAAGGCTGCAAGGACTAAAGGACATGGCCTAATCCTTAGCTCCTGCATTTCCAAACAAAAAACATATCTAAAACATGAATCGTGTACAGATGAAATCCAAAGCTACGTCAGAGCCAAATGATCTCATATTATACACAAGACAACATGGAACTGTTTAGCATGTATCCATACAAAAAATAATAATAATTTATTTCACTGGATAACGCTATTGAAACTAATATTGGTTTAATTTAACTTAATTTTACCTATGTCCCACCCACCCAATTGTAAACTCTGTATCAGATTTATGCATTAAAATTCAAGGAAAAGCCAATTGATAAAACTTAAACTGAAGAACCATACATGTAGGAAAACAATAATAACACTAACCTCAACAAGCTCAGTGAGAACAACAAATGCTAGCGACATGGCCCTCTCAGGAAAGAATCTGACCAGAAATCAGCATAAAAAAGTCACAATATATACAAAAATAAAAATGGAAACTAACATGAAACTTCATTGGGCGTTCCTCCTTCAATATGCGGCAGAACAAAAAAGAGAATATTAATCAATTCAAAAGATCAAGAAACAAAATTAAAAGATCCCGAGACTGAATATTTTTCTGTCAAAAATGAAAAGAGAAACGATCCAAAACCTGAATTTTAAATATTTGCGAAGTTGGCCTATCAAATCAGAAAAAGCCATCTCCTAAAATTAATATCGTAACTCTAAACCTACCAATCAGAAGTTATTATTAAATCAACAGACTCACCCATACTTAAACCTTATTTGTCTCTACAACCTCATTTGAATCAACCAATTTATAGACATAGAATTTCTTGGCACCAATAATTCTATAGCATAAAGAATGGTAGGCTTTTCTAGTCAAGTAACAAAGATTTTCCTTCAATCTACATCAATTGATCACACAACACTCCGAAAACATTTTTTTGCTCTATCCATCCCACTAATTGTACAGCAATGTACTCGTCAATCTTCTCTTCTTTACGGATGATCAATCCAAACCAAAAAGAAGTTGCCTCTGCTGTCAATTTTGGGTAACTAAGACACCTGCACACACCCACAATTACCCGTTATTGGAAGTTGCAACCTGAACCTTCCACTTAAAAATCAGATAACACTAGACCTAAGCTCTTGGTGATACCTCTGCTATCATTTGCCCATCAATCTTCACTTCACTAGTTTCGGCTCCCAACGAAAAAATCATTTCACCTTTCTCTCACACTAAGTGTATGCTACCAGTCATTAAGGAATACTTAGGCTTAGAGGGTGGTCCCTCTTTATAGTGTAATGATTGAAATTCAAACATGCTGCCCTTAGCATTTTGCATATGGCGAAGTAACATCCTCCGCGCAATCACAAGACCACCATTGTGCAAACACGATCATTCCATCCGAAGTGTTTTCTGAGAATTCACTAGTTTATGCATGTTCTTAATCCCACCTAAAAGCCATAGATAATCTAAATTTACCAAATTACGCTACCTGAAATCCAACACTCAGTAAATTTGCCTTCTCTCGAGTATATTCTAATATTTCAGAACTCGGACTACTTTGCAAACCAGAAACCACATCACAATTGTTTGCAATATATTTTTTAATTTCAAGATAACTATCAGAGTAGTGACAACGTAATCAAATCACCAAGTCGGTCACATATAGAACATACAGATAAATAGGTACATAAATTTACATATATTTGAAGAAATACAAGAAAGGGCATGGATAATTGCAGAGAAATGAGCTTACGGATTGAGAAAATCGGCTAGACACACGAGCGAGTTCCATCCGAGCGATGAATAAAGATTGACGTAATCCTTCAACTCTCTCTCGTTAATCGAAACCCAAGCGAAGATAACGACGATTCCTTCGACCTTTTCGGCGGTCTCGTTTCGAACCCAATAGAATCGGCCTCCACCGTTGTTCAACATGGATGGTACCTCCTCAACAAGGCGAACTAGATAAGAGTGTTTTCTTGGAAATGCGCAGCAGAGATGCAAACCCAAACAAGCCCTAACCCTAAATGGTGTATGAACCACAAATGATTGAGGAAGAAAGGAGAGAGGTTTTGGTCTCAACAACTCGGTTGTGTTCTTGGTGGTAGATCTCCGAGTGGAGATTGCGCATGTGCCAACTAGGCTCATCCGCACCACGCGCATTTTAGGATATTCTTATCCTGCACCAGGTGGGGGCACACGCATAGTACTTGGACTTGAAAATTGTATATTTAAAAATAGTTTCTTATTTTTTAAAAAAAAATCAACAAATTTAAAGATTATTTTTAATAAAATATCTATTTACAATTATTTTTTTATAATTTAAGCCATAAAACTCAATGATGGCTAAATTAAGAAGGATTTTTATTTTATTTATTTTTTTGTTTATCTCATTTAAAACTTAATATGAAATCCCTAATCAATCTTTTACAAGTTAGGAATTGCATATAACTTGATGGATAAAAATTTTATAACAAAAATATTTTAAATGTATCACATGTTTAAATAAAATATTATAAGTGATAGAAAATGCATCACTAGTATGTTTACAATGCATATTACATTTTTTATGTGTAAAAAAAAATCTTCTAAATTATGATATTTGTGCAAATAAGTTTTACTAAAATAACAATATTTTGTGAAATGACTAAAAAAGGTAGGTAAAAAAAAAAAAAAAACCGCTAAAAAGGGACGACCAGCAGAAAGTTTCACGACGGTGCAACGATCAACAAGGATTTAGGTGGCGAACCAATAAATTCCGGCGAACAATGTACTGAACGGCGGCCAAAGAAGACTGAATCGGTGATGATGGAGGACTGGCACAGTGGCGACAAGGATCTGGCGAGACGAACCGGCAGTGTAGAGAACTTGGAGGATGACAACCTCAGTGATGTGGTGATGGCAGTGAGTAGGCGGTGGAGGAATGGCCCAGCGACGGCGACAGCAACGACTAAAGAAGTCGCTATTCCGGTGATAGGTAGGATGAGCTCGGCTCGGCGATGGATGATCTGACCGGCGATGGAGAGGTCGGCTGTGGAGAGCTCGCTGGTGCAGCGATGGGTGGAGAGGATGTTGTGGAGATCTGACCGGCGAGGACTGAACGGCAGAGACACAACTTCGGCTAACTGACGACCGCCGGCGAGCGGGGATCTGGGCGCGGTGATGGCTACCGTGACTGGTTTGGAGGCTCAGTTATGGGTTTTTCCTCAAATTAGTACTCTCTGGAGGATTTCCATGCTTTTACAGATTCCAATACGTTATATTAACCTCCTCGGTTTTCTTTCACCCACTCAAATTCTCACAGTTAGACCAAAAATCAACAATAACTGGTGGTACCTTTGAACCCTTCTGGAATTTGGACAACCGGACCGTTCCAGACTAAAATACTGAAGTTGAAGTCTCGAGGCTGGTCCATTCCTTTGAAGACTTCCCTACCTTTGCGGCACATATAACTACACATCCAAATCTGAATTCGTTTGAACAAAATCAATCCTGGGATTTCGAGACCCATTTCATCACCAATGCATCAAGACCTGTTATGGTCGCTGACGGTGGTGCGACATTCCACGGCAATGAAGAAGGCTTTGTTAGGTGGTTGCAGTTTTGGGGTGGAGAGTAAGTTTTGGTAGGGATATTTTTGGTAAAAAAGTAAAATGGACATTATATTAATTGAGGGTATTTTTGTACAAATTAAAAAAAATATAAATATTTTTTGCACACCTTTTAAATAGGAAAAAAAAAGAACCTGAACTATTATTTTTACATAAAACTCTCTAAACTATCCTCTGTTTTTTTTTTTTTGCAAAAAAACCCTAAGCGACACTGTTCCGGTTGATTTTGTTCCTAAAATCGGCAAGTGACCAATGCTATAAATTTAAATGGCAATTTTACCCTTTTATTATTATAATATAAATTAATAAAAAGCCACCTATTAGCTTCATTCCCTACCAAATCTCCATCTCTATGGAGGTCTCTGCAAATCTTTCAACCGATTATGGATACATCTATATATATATATATATGTGTACATTTTATATGTTATATCGCATAAAGTTAAAATTCTCAAATTTGCTGCTCAGTAATATATTATATATTATCTGGCTGGAAGACATAGTTATACACAGACAATATATGCAAATCTAGTTTCCCTCTAAGGCTTTCCACAGTTCGCTTAACTTCTTTCAATCACTCTTTTACTCATTTTTAAAAGATAAGAATGGCTGAATTGTTAGTCACTGGAGAAAGAAACTAAAATAATTTAGGCTACCAAGAGTACAATCGACTCCCATTAAAATCAATGAGAGCCCAACCTTAAAACCCCATAACCACAGGCATCATGACCCAATCTCAACGACCAAACCAGTGAGGTCTCATTCCGGTGAACCTCAAACAGACACAACAGACCAAATCTTTCTGGTGAGCATCATACAGACCTAGATGACTAAATCGTGAGCATCTTTGAAGACCCAAACCTTGAACTTCATTGAAGACCTAAGCGGTCGATGAAGTCGGTTGCCGGAGGTGGCGATTGATCGGCGATCTCTTCAACTGCTGGAGAACGAAAGCGCAAGAGGGGGTAAGAGCGCTCTGTATAGTACAATAAGGTAGTGTTTGGCAAGTAGTATTAGGTGGTGGTTGTGATAAGCTGATGTGTTGTGCAATGTTATTAGTTGGTGCTGGAGTTCGTGATCAAGGCGATCTCGTCGGCTGCTGGAGAAAGAGAGCGTAAGAGAGAAGAAGGGCGTGTTTGGCTCATGTAATGTAATGTAAATGTTTAGTTAATAATTGTTATTTTGATCAGTAAGTCTTTGAGAAAAGAGCTCTGGTTCAGCTTGTAACAGAGCAGTGGCATGAGACGGTTAAGTTTAAATTTTGATACAGCTCTAACAAAGGAGGCTGCAAGCCTGCAACTGGTTTAGTCCTCAGGGAATCGAATGGAAAGGTTTTGAAAGTGGTCATTCACTTCTTCCCTAATTTGCAGACTATTGAGGGAGACTGCAAATTAGTGATCCAGCCGAAGAATGTTGCAGTGAGCATTGCATCCATTTATGAGGATATTTGTGCTACTCTACAAATGCATGATCAGTAGAAGCTAGAGTGGGTCAACAGAGAGAAGCTAATGGAATGGCTCACGATGTAGCTCAGTATGCAATGCAGAGAATGGATACAATTTGTTTTTCTGATATATTTTCAGCTTTCATTGAAGAAATGGCTTTCAGAGTGTGTAATCAGCTATGATTTATTTATTTTAATGAAAACTTTTTTGCATTTGGGAAAAAAAAAATAATAATAATAATAAAAAAACCAATACATATATACGTTATTATGGGGCAGAGCCAGGAATGTTTATTTGGGGCGCCAAAATAGTAAACTAAAATCAACATAGATCATCAGGAGATACATCAAATTATCCACCACAACCATGGGCAATACTTCTCCAAATCTCCAACCTCAAGCAGACAAACACAGTACTTTGGAGATAAGGTCTTTATCAATTTCAGTTAAGATATTTGTGTTGCAGAAATTTAGACCTGTGATTTGTCAATACTTTAAGGAGACTCCCACCATATTTGCATAATTAATTTCAAACACACTCCTGTTCTTTCTGGCACACGTCAATAACCCTAAGTCGCACAATCATTTTCAATGGGTGTCACTCTTACATTTCGAGCGCGCTCTCGCTCATATTTTCACTATTTATGACATAATTTTACTTTTTTCATGCTCTTGCTCCCGCTCTTGTTCTTGCTTTATGTGATTTAGCAATGACCCCCGTGTAACAGTCAAAGATGGCCGGTGACACGTTTTTTTGCTAACATCATAAAAAAAATAATAATTTATAATGTCTTCCAATTGTGAGCAGTCTTCCTCCTCACGATAAGATTGAGCTTAACAGTATATATTTAGCGAGTGTTTTCGAATCTTTTGTTGAGTAGACAATGGAAAAGAGATCGGGTAGAGATAGAGATTGTGTGTCTGTATGCGGAACCAATTCAATCACAGAAGATCTTACACTTTTTTTGGTTAGAGAAATTAAGATAGATTTTACACTGTTTTTGGAGTGGAGTGGACTGTTTGGTTAGACAAATATTGTTGAGTGGGGGTGTTTGGATTGAAATTATGCAATTTTGGAGGGGTCACCTTATGCACTTCTTAATGATGAGAGAACTATATTTGGCGCCACCTTTCGGTTTGGAAAGAAAATGTTGCAGCAGAGTAGGAGCAGATTTCTACATAACATCATCATTTATGCCATATTTAATCAGGGGAAAGAACATGATAAACAAAGAATGACAAAGTACCAGAAAAAAAAAAAAAAAAAAACCTCGTATGTTAAAAATATAGGTTCAAAAAGGTCTCGTAATAATAATAATAATAATAATAATAATAATTATTATTATTATTATTATTATTTTTGTGATACAGTAAATTAAATTACGTCACGAATGATATGGTATTGTAAACAGGGACGGAGTCAGGATTTTCAATTGAGGGGCACAATGTACGTGAGAAATATATATATATATATATATATATATATATATTTAATTGCCATCTTAGTTGATATATATATATATATATATATATATATATATAACAAGGTGTTAGTTACACAACAAAATTCAGCCAACAATACTATCATATAATTCATATCAATATAATTTGTATTCCTCTTATTTATTTAAGATTCTAATTTAAGTAATTTAATCACACAAATATTTGAAAAAAAAAATTACTATTAAATTATTGTGATATATTTATTGGGAGACTTAAAAAAAAGTAACTTTAGTCTTTAATATATAATAAAAGGAAGGAAACCATGAAAGAAATTTTTTGAAAAGAAAAATTTTAGGGTTTATATATATATTTTTTTTCGGAAGTTTTTTTATTTTTATTTTTTATTATTATTATTATTTTTTTGTGTATCCGTGATTCCAAATTTCCATAAAAGAAGAAGCATAAAAGAAACTTTATTTTTTTGTGTGGAAACATTCCAGTCCTTATGTAGGGTTTTTTTATTCCAAATTTTATTTTTTTTTGTGTGGAAACATTCCAGTTCTTCTTATGTAGGGTTTTTTTTATTTGAAGAACAGAAGAAGCATAAAAGAAGAAAGAAAAATAGAAGGAAAATATTGAAGAAGATAAATAAGGGAGAAAAATAGAAGGAAAATATTGAAGCAAATATATAAGGGGTACTGTTGAATTGGGTACCTGTGTTGATGACTCCATGAGAAGTTTCCCAAAGAATGTTATTGTTTAATTCAGTCTTCTATAGCAGAGAAGTAAAAAAGGGGTAAATCGATCCCAATAAATATTTTATTTTTTATAAAATTGTTTTGATTGTGTAGGTGAAGGTGCATCAAAACTCTTGCTCCATCAATAATTTAATTGGTAAAAACAAGTTTTAGGAGGGGCACCATATATATATATTTTAAAAAATATATATAATAGTAAAGGGAAAAAGAAAAATTCAGGAGGGGCACGTGCCCGCCCTTCATTCTCTCGTCACTTTTGTAAAAGCAAATTTCTTGTAAAACTACAGTAGAAGATAGGATAGGGAGAAAATATATATATATATATATATATATAAACAAAACAAATTATCATTATAGAATCCAAACTCCAACATAATTCATTCAAATGAATATAATTTATGTTGGTATTTTCGTTTGAAACATGCTTTCAGTTAAATCTTCAAGAAGTGACAATTTTTTCCACAATTTATTTGACCTACGCTTTTGGAGTGACTTCTTTCTATAAAAACAAAATTAGAACCCTAATATTCTCAACCATATATATGTATGAATTATTAGACAAATACATAATTCATTAAAACTTCTCATAAATGTATTTAAGAACACAATTAAAAAAAAAAAAAAAAACCATATGTGTGATTAGAACTCTACAAACTTAAAAAATATTTATTTGCAATAATTAAAAAAATTAATAAATGAAACTGTTCTTTAAATTACAAAGTTGAACTGTTCTCAAAATTCCCTATTGCTTTACAAATTATAATATGGTTCTCTTCACTTTACAGTATTAAATACAAATAATGAAATAATAGTAATAATAATTCTCAGCGCCTGACATAGATCGAAACGAAGGAAGTGGAACAAATCAATCCACACACACCCCACCGTAATTCTTTGCCAGCATCGTAATCAGTTTGGTAAATATATAAACATTCTCTCTCACCTTTTGCTCTCCCCCATTATTTTTTCTTTAAAAAAGCGCATCAGATCCAAAGCAAATTCAATTTACACGGCTTGGGAGACCACCGCTCCACCTCAGCACGTGCAACTCCCGCTCCACCTTGTTAATTTGTTATATACTTTTGTATATATATATACATATATATATATATATATATATATGCATGCACACAGTTAGTGTGTGTATATATTATATGTGTGTGTGTGTAAGGTCACTGTAGAAGCATTTTGTACTTGGAAGGTTGGAACCTGTGAGAGCCCCTGAAAGTGTGACCTTGCATTTGGCACGTACTATCCATCACAATGTGCCTGTATCTGCTTCATTTATTTCTTTGCAATACTTTCCTTATACCTGCTATATATGGCCCAATTTTATTTATTTATTCTTATCATTTAAAAGGTACGAAGGCTAAGTCAAAGTGATAGTACATCGACGTAAGGCAAGCCAAATAAAAACATACAAATCATGAAACAAAATAAAAATAAAGAATAGACTTCAGATTTGTTGAGAAATAGTTACTGCTCTAGAACGGAAACCACCAAAAAAGAACAACAACAACTAGAGGGATCAAAAGTCAAGTCATCATCAAGACAACAGCTTCAAAACTACATCTACAAGGCACCTCCACACACTCAATCCCGCACAAGATCAAATCAAATTAGGAAAAACAAAAATCGACCTAAATCAGATATCTAGCCGAAGGGAAAACAACATATCCAATTATTGTTGAGTCCAATTTTTTAATTTATTTTTGGTTCAGCATAAAAAAAAATAATAAAAAAAATTAATAAAACGTTTTTTTTGGTTCCTAATTAGCTACCATTCAAATTCAATTTTAAGCATATCGATAAGAGCATATAATTAGCCAATAACTATACATGTATGGTCGGTCGCCATTGACTAAATCGGCTTACTCGTCATTAGGGAACATATTGTCACCATTGTCGCAATCACCACACACTGATTAAGTATAACACTTTAGTCAGATGGAATAGACCTCCCTTTGAATGATCAATAATTTAGAATGTGTAGAAAATAAAATGGACTAGTTTCATGCTGATTGAAGCATACATAAAAAAAATAAACAAATAGGACTCCTTTATTCTTCCCTTTAAAAGTCACATTAATACTTTCCTAACTGAGATCAGAGTGGTAAAAATAATAATAAAATCACATTTAATCAGAATTAAAGTTTAAAAAGTGACATCAAGGCAATTAATATAAATTTTTATAAAAATTGTATAAACCTTTGATGCCTTTGAATCATATCCAGTGATAAACCTTTGATGCCTTTGAATCATATCCAGTGATAGGGAAAAATATAAACCTATCATACCCTCGATAAGATTGATTAGATTTCATTATCAAGGATAATGAAATTAAAACTGACCTGATTCAACAGGTAAGAATAATCCTACTATAACGGGAGGAGGTCAAATCCAGTAATAAATCTACTATGATTTCGCACAAGCGGAAGATAAGATCAATCATCGACATCGGCGGAACGATTTTGATTCCAATCGACAGCCATAAATAGGGCACCAAGTCATTAAAAAACGTACGACGTAAAAACTATTATTAATCCCTGCCTTCTTTTTAGACTTTCGGGACACCGGTGCGGTCAAGATTCATCAATCTTTTCGATCTTCTCCTCTCTTCCTTATAGCGGTATCGTACCAGATTGTGCGAATTTCAACCTCAACATCCAGTATAGAATTCTTTTTATTGTGCAAGTCGGTGACTTGAATCTTATCATCTTAGAACTAGTGAGAGTCATCTAACAAAGCTTAAATGTTTTAAAGAAATCTTACCGTTTTAGCACGAATGAGAGTCCAATTTTTTAATTTATTTTTGGTTCAGCATTGGTTCTTAATTAGCTACCATTCAACTTCAATTTTAAGCATATCGATAAGAGCATATAATTTGCCAATAGCCTGACATGGATGGTCAGTCGCCATTGACTAGATAGACTTACTCGTCTTTAGGGAACATCATGTCACAATTGTCACAATCACCATACACTGATTAAGTATAATACTTAGTCAAATGGAATGGACCGCCCTTTGAATGATCAATAATTTTGACTATGTATAATGAAATTTGGTAAAATGGACTAGTTTCATACTGATTGAAGCATACATAGAAAATGGCAAAAAAAAGAAAAAGAAAAAACACAAATAGGACTCCTTTATTCAATTTTTAGTGTTTTCTTCCCTTCAAAAGTCAAATTAATACTTCCTTAACTGAGATCAGAGTGGTAAAAAAAACTAGTAAAATACACACTTAATCAGAATTAAAGTTTAAAAAGTGACATCCAAGGCAATTAATACAAATTTTTATAAAAATTGTATCAACCTTTGATGTCTTTGAATCATATACCATATAGAATTTTTTCTATCATGCAAGTCGATGACTTGAATCTCACCCTCTTAATATGAGTGAAAGTCATCCAACCAAGTTTAAATGTTTTTGGTTTCTAATTAGCTACCATTCAACTTCAATTTTAAGCATATCGAGAAGAGCATATAATTAGCCAATAGCCATACATGTATGGTCGTTCGCCATTGACTAAATGGACTTACTCGTCATTAGGGAACATATTGTCACCATTTTCACAATCACCACACACTGATTAAGTATAATACTTAGTCAAATGGAATGCACCTCCCTTTGAATGATCAATAATTTAGAATGTGTAGTGCTACTCTATGTATACTGAAATTTGGTAAAATGGACTAGTTTCACACTGATTGAAGCATACAAAAAAAACAAATAGTACCCTTTATTCAATTTTTAGTGTTTTCTTCCCTTTAAAAGTCAAATTAATACTTCCCTAACTGAGATCAGAGTGGTAAAAATACTAATAAAATACACACTTAATCAGAATTAAAGTTTAAAAAGTGACATCCAAGGCAATTAATACAAATTTTTATAAAGATTGTATCAACCTTTGATGTCTTTGAATCATATCTAGTATAGAATTTCTTCTATTGTGCAAGTCGGTGACTTGAATCTCACCGCCTTAGTACAAATGAGAGTCATCCAACAAAACTTAAATGTTTTAAAGAAATATACAATATCACCAATTAAATATCCACTACATTTTAAGAGATGAGGGGTGTGTTGATTGATGGGGTATTTAATAACAACTACTCGCATCCTATTTGGGAAAATTTGATTCATTCAGAATTAAAGAATTCGGAATGAAAGGGCGCTCTTTGAGAATCGTCATCAATACCTCAGTGTAGGTGTAAGTTCGGGATAATCTTTTGTTCCGTAACCCAGGGGTGACTTTGTTTGGCTGCATGAAATTTAAAACTTAAAATTAAAAAAAATTTTAGTTCAATTTTGTGAGTTATTTTTCTTCAATTATACAAATTTTAATTTAAAAACTCTAATTCTATACAATCCAACATAGTCTTAAAAGTATTTGGGACTAATTTACACTACCACATGTGAACAGTCCCACTAACTATTGTCCATGGTCCACACAAAGGCACTCTCATACTTTGAAACCCATAGTTCCAATTGAAATCATCTCCCAATATATTGAAGAAAAAACGAATATTGCAAAAATGAGTCGAAGGCCAAACACAAAGTGACAAATATAGAGAAGCAACCAAATGAAGCAAAAACAAAACACACTTTTCAAATTCAACATGTGAAAAAGTAAAAACAATAAATTAAGCACCCCCATAAATTACTCACTGTTTACCACATAGAGATCGAGAAAGAGATAAAAGGGTCGGACATGATTAATTCATATAGTGCTGAAAATGTGTATAATTGAAGATAGGTGATACCCAAAAGGGACATTGTTGCAGAAGAAGCTTCTCTTTCTCTGATTATATCGTACCAAAATGAAAAGAGCTTCTTCAGAGAGAGAGAGAGAGAAATAAAAAGCTGTACATATAACCAAAAGACAACCCCCCATAAAAGAAGGATGAAAAAAAAAAAAAAATAGATGCCTCTTTCTCTCTCGCGTGTCACTTTTCTGCTTTGTCCTCTCTCCTCTTCTCTTCGCTCCTAGCTCTCTCATGGCTTCAGTCGAACCCACTCGTACCGACCCACCAACGGCTCGTCCTTCACCACGTCGTAATTGTACCTGAAATCAACATACAATTAGTTCCAAAACCAAAAAGAAAAAGAGAAATATACATATAAAATTAGTTTTGCTTTTTGAAATTATTGGTTATGATTGATGAATTCTAAAATGAGCGTGTGGTGGGTGATTGTACTGTACTGCTTATCATGCACGCACTTACTTTTGTGCGAATCGTTTTTGCTCGTACTTTTCGGCTACGGAGAAGAACTCTTCGATCTCTGCAGTTGATGGCATCTTTGCCGTCGGCTGCTTACGGCGGCGGTGGCTCGCCGGCGACAGCTTCGACGTTGACGACTCCATTTCTTCGTTTGAGTCTGCGCAAAGCTCGCTTGTCGGTGTGGTCTCTCTACTGCAAACACAAAGGCAAAGGAAATTAGTGCGTGAAGAATATATACTGACAGGATGTAACTGAAAATAAATATAACAAACTGTTAAAATTCCTTTTCGGTTCAATTTCGAAGAATTGAAGAGACTCGGACGTACGTGTGCATAGAAATTAAATCTAAAAATAACAAGAAACGGAAACAAACCTGAATCGTCCGTTGCCGAACGTGGAATTTTTAGAATTTTCAATTTTGAAACCCTCGAACTGCAATAAAACATGCAAATGCGAATTATTACGAGCAATTAAAGCTTGAGAAACGGAAATTATAGTAACAATTGAGTGAAATTGATTGTGTTCGAGTTTGAATTTACCTTCAGATCTACGGATCTCGGACATTTCACGAACTCGTTCGACTCGTTGCTCGAACACTCCGACGCCGGAACGGGATCAGAGGTCTCCGATTCCGCCGGCGAAACAGAATTCTTCGGTGAATTCACGACGCAGCGGTGGTTCACAACTTCCACATTCGACGCTACCTTTCTCCTCTTCGAAAATCCCGAGCTCGTAACCGCCTCCATAGCTCTCGTCGTCACTCCTCCGCCTCCCACCTCCATTACTGCAATTTCTCCAGCTTTCTTGCATTTTCTCACGTAGTCCCCCATTTCTCTCTCTCTTACTTTCTCTCTCCTCCTCTATAGTCTATATATATACGTGAACATATATATATATATTTTCTGAACTTTTCAAACGAGACTCGGAGCTCTGTGTTTCTCTCTCCTCCCCCTCTCTCTACAATTGATATTAACTAGCTGTAGCAGTAACTAATTGGAGGAGAGAGAGGTGTTTTGAGAAGATCGGACGGCTGAGATTTGTTTCTGTGTGTTAAAGTGTGTGTGGTCCTGACTCCGTTAACGGTGACAGGGAATAAGAGAGTCGTCACATGGCATGCTGTTACGAAGATCTGGCCGTTGAGGATCACAAAATCATTACCGATCTGTTATCTAAAGACTGACCGACACGTCATCACCTTCTTCATAGGGAAGTTACCGGCTTTTACCGGTGTAAAAACCGGGAATATTTGCTCTGGTTGTTAACTTTGGCCGTGCATATATAAAACTTACCCATTTTACCTAAAAATAAAATAAATACGGAGTACAAGTTTTTTTTTTTTTTTTTTTCGGAAATTCATAAATAATCATAAGTTACTATTATTATGTATTAAGTGGTATTTAAATAAATAAATAAAAGTTACTATTATGTATTAAGTGTTTATTTTAAAGGGTATTAATCTTATTATTGATCTAAATTTTTGATTAATAATCAGACGGTTCAGATAATTCACAGGACCGTTTAATACAATACGATTATATTTATAATAATTAACGTTTTATAATATATGGTGATCTTAGTTGAAATTTAGGATATAATATTGGGATAATAATGCCGGCAGAGAGGTGTTTGGTTGTATGTATTTGTTTTTCCTAACCAAAACACTTAATTGGCAGGCTCATGGCTTTGAATGTGGTCTGGTCAAGGATTTAAAGTCGGCACTCTATGAATTAAAAACATTAGATGGAGTTTTAAATATTTGGTTTTTATATATTTTTTTTATGACACTTTTTTATACGGTATATATATACATATATATGTATGTGTATGTATATATTAAGAGATGCACCAAGAAGAATCAGACGCCATAAAGTGTGTTAATAAAAATAAGGGCTGCACTTAAATGGAAGGACATATGGTCCATAGAATATAGGGCAGATAGAAATACTGGGGAAGGAAGGGTAGATGAATTTTAGATGCATACAACAATCATATTTACGGCAGTGTACTACTTACCAAAAAACGATAAGTATTTACTGCACTGTTATAACAGTAGGGTTATTTATGGAACGAGTGAAAAGTAACTTCCACACCACACTTGTCTTGGGCCAAAGTTAAGGTACACCCTACGCCATAATGGTCCCATGATCAAAATACCTCCAAGCATGAGGCTGTGTGGTAGGAATCCAAGTGTCTCCGTTTTAAAACTGTTCTTTCATTTTAATTTTAAGTATTATACATACAGGTTATTTTGTGTAAAAATAATAGTAAGTATTAAAAATATAGCTATTAAGAAAGTTTTCTAATGATAAAAATTATGAACTTTATTGTATTTAAACATTAAATATAAAATGTGTATTAGAGAAAAATTACCTCAATTCCGTGGTTAATGTGGCGGAGTCACATTCCGCCACATTGGAGCCGGTGGGGGCAATTGTCTATATTGAAATGTTCTGTTATTTATTTATATTTCATATGCATAAATTTTAACAATCTAAAGTATCAACAAAAACACCTTATAAAAAACTTTCAAAATTAAAAAAAACCCTTTATTTATTTATTAATTTATCTAATAAGATTTACAAAATTCAGAATAGACCCATCCTTTGCTACAAAATTTTCTATTATTTGTATCTTTTGTAAATAAATTTCTATAATTATAAAAGTGCCACTTGAACTCTTAAAAATTCACAAAAGACCTTAAGAAAACCTTCTAAAATTAAAAAAAAAAGACCCCTCATTTCTAAGTCTTTTGCCCAACAAAATTTTCAAAATTCATAAAAGACCCTTGTCTTTTATACCCTCAAAAACTTTTAAGAACCAAAATTCAGAAGAAAATAAAAAAAACCCATAATTTTCTATTTATTATTTTAGTTCAATTTTTTTTTTAAAAAAATTATATTATTGTTAATGGTTGTCCTTCTAAACTAAATTTATATAGCTTCGCCACCACTTGTCATGAAATAACTATCTCCATAACATTATTCAATAATAAATCTAATTTTAGTATTATTATTTTTTTGATGTTTGAAGTATGAAAAAATAATTTGAGTAATTTTCTTCCTACACTAAACATTAGCAACATATGAAATGATATGAAGACATGTTTTAAAGTTGGAGAAGACATGAAGAAGAGAAAAGGAGAGGTGATGGAATGTGAAAGGTAATGTTCACTTTTTACAAGTCATTTGTTTCGAAAAGCTCAATCCATCATCTTCACATGTCAAAACCATACATGTTTCTCGTGCCTAAATGTTTGGAGGCATTCTTTAAAAAGCAAACTTTGCGACTTTAGGTACTTCCAATCTTTTAAAGTACTGTGGGATAACACTTTGATTTGATTGAGAAGAAAAAAATATTTTTTTTTCTTTTTGAGTTATATAGGTTCATGACTTTGGAGAACTGAGTTTCCTTTAATATTTATTTTATTATTATTATTCGGTATTATTTTTTTCCAATCACTAATATTTACTTACTTGGTATGACAAATGGTAATTTCCCACATACGTAATTTAGCAATAATAATGGCACTATTTTGTGTTTCTACCTTTTACAATTTTTAATAACCTCAAATATAAAAAATAGTCTGTTTGATCGACACTCATATTATTGCTCCCGAACACTCAACCTCTCATTTGAAGGGAGAGACCAAATCATATCAACTAATGTCCATTGGTAGGAAACAACTGGTTTTTAGAATTCCTTCACATTGGTAAGCTAAACAAACTTGATTATCCTACGGTAGGACGTGGATTGATCATGATGAGAATGGACTTCTTCATACGTAATGTGATGTGATAGAAAAATCAGAGTCGCTGGACCAAGGAGACATAAATTCTATTGAGGCGGGTAAGGGTTTTGCTTAACCGTGTGTTCTCTCTTGATCGGGACGAAGGCGAAAACTAGCAAAGTTCATCCATCATTTAGTGATGGGGTGTTCATAGAAAAGAAGGCAGAACAATTTTTGTAATTCTTTGAATATTGTTTTTGTATGTTCAATATCAAAGAATGACTCTAATTATCAAATGATTAAACAATTTGGAGTAATTTACGATACTTAGTTGACATTCATAAAAAGATATCTAATGTATTATGAGTTCAATACATTCTGTTTAACAAAAAGACGGATATTAATTCCTTACTCGTTATTAAGCAATCACTTATTCACAAACCACGTGATCGTGGAGGCAATATGGGAGTATCGGAAATCCTTTTTTTGCCCGGACGTTTGGCCAAAGAGTTAGGGTCTTTTAGGAAAAACTAGGAAATTCTCTTGTATACTTAAGAAATTTGTATTTTGATTTTAAGAAGTTGATAGGGGAAGATGATACATTGAAAGAGGTGGGTCAAGAAACTGTTAAAAAGTTGGGTTTCTTGTAAGCAAAAAAAAAAATGTCAAATACATTTATTTATTTTTTCTAATTATGTGTATTGGTGTTTGAAAAAAATAATACTAAAGAAAAACAAAAACATCTAATGAGTAAAAGTTAAATCAAGGTTGTACATGGGCTTAAATGCAAGGGTCTAAAATTGAATAAATAAATTAATAAATAAAGAAAAACAAAAACAACTATTGAGTAAAAGTTAAACCTAAGGTTGTACATGGGCTTAAATGAAAGGGTCCCATTTTAAAGTAACCCAGTAAAGCTAAGAGAAAGACATTGAATGAATTAGCATTCTCATGAATTTTTTTTTTCTTCCATAAAACAAAGTCCATTAAAGAATGAAATGTAAAGCCAAAACTTCATAAACTCATTTGGAAGAGAATCAAGCATAGATCCAAAAAGCACATCATTTATGAATAATAAAAAGAAAGCTTGTGTTCTAAATTGTGTCCTACATTTATATTATCTGAACAAAATTGGCAAGCATCAAAATTCAACTTAGAAAACTTCGTACGAGAACAATGGTCTGGTAGGTAGAAAACTTGGTAGAGAAAAATGGTCTGGTAGGTAGGATGCAATCTGATAACAATGCTAAACGTGAGGTTCTAGTCTCAGTGAGATAAACATCTCAATTTCGATGAAAGATGCTGCCTATTGTATGTGTCCCTAGTCTCCAAACATATCATGTTTGGATCATACTGTGGGTATATCAGGGCATACTATGAAAGTGAAAAATGAATAAACCTATTGCACGAGACTTTCGTTATTACCTGATCTAAAGATTAATTTTAAACTCGTGATCAGATCACAATAGCGCAACTTTATTGTTGTGCCAAGACTTGCCCTCTATGATCAATTTTTGGTGTTGGCATAATAAGTAGTATATTCTCTCTCTCTCTCTCTCTTCAAACAAGAGATTGATGGTTAAATCCAATCAAATTTTTTTGTTCAATAAGGATAAAGAGTGGGGCAATTATTTGACCTTTTTTTGCGCTAAAGTAAGAGAGTTCCTTCCTTCTTTCTTTTCCGTACTACTTTAGGGGCTTGACCGGTTCTTTTTTTGAGAATCGACGAATCAAATGATATTTCTGTTCCAAATTTTGCCTCTTTTTCTCCCTTTGACCTTCTCAATTGAAAAAGCACACACTTATTCAAAAAGAAATTGAGTTTTGCTTGCCGAGTAGAACTATGCACTACCAGCACGAGATAGATGTTGCATCCCAAAGCCTTTTTTTTTTTTTTTTTATCTGATCAAATAAAATAAGGAAAGGAGTTGTTGATGCTTATATGGATTGATCATAGAAGGGATCTCCTTTTCTCAGAGGGAGCCTAACTTTTAACAACGATTTCTAAAAATAGAATTGTTCCTTACTAGCTAAGGTAAAATACTCTCTTCTATCTCTATGGTGCCTGTCCATGTATTTTAAAAACTGACAAGTTTAATTCCAAGGGCAAAATAATAATTTCCAGAAAGATTTGGGTGCCACTGAGCATATCATTAGATAGACAATGAAAAATTAATGAACTTAAACTCAAAAATTGTTTAATTCGGAGTCGAATGAAAGAGAAAAGTCGAATATATAACTTACAATTTATGTGGAATATTGGATATACTTCTCAAAAGTGCTTGGAATATTTTTGTAGAGACTAGTGGGTGTGACAACAATAATAGAGATGTGAAACATATACATGGGATTCCAAGGTTATCAGAATAGAATGGAAAATGATTGGGCTTAGGCTGTGGTCCATTGCACTCTTGTGGAGGAGATGCCGAGTCCCTACAACAACAAACAACACACAAAAAAAAAAAAAAAAAAAAAAACACTGTACATCACTTTCACACTACCTCAAGACAAACTTATTGTTCCCTCCCTGTTGGAAGGTGGTCGAGCAAATGATTTGAGTCGTAAAACCTAGTCAGTCCTTCACTTTTGTCATAGTTTTATCTTCCTCATTTTAATCTCAACTGTTTCACCATTAAAAAGACAAAAATATGATCTGAATCTCTGATCCGAATATGTAAATAGACAGGAGTCTTTCTACTGGAAGAAGTTTTAATACAGAATGGAACTGCAAATATTCTTTTCCCCCCTGGTAAATTTGGATTGCAACAAATTGTCAGACCCATCAATCATGTTCTATATATATATATTTCAACACCCTGCATATATATATATATATTTTTATATATATATAGATATATTGTGCAGGTGAGAAAAAAATTACCACAAAAAAAATGACAATCTGGGATGTTTCACCTGTACTAACAAGTTAATGTTGGGTACATGTAAGGGACTGTCTAAATCAGCTGTGGAGAAATTTTTTTATTAACTTTGAGTGTACCTGTTGTGCTCTCAGATTAATGACTTGTGTCCCATCACCCAAAAGAGTCTCTCTTCACTACATACAATCCATCACTTTTAGGCAGAGGGAAGTAGAGTAGAATGAAATGATACCATTGATTGCACTAAGAATCGAATGAGATGGGATCCCACAAGGTATCCATTCAAACCGGAACTCGTATTAGTAGAAACGAAAGCCTGGTACATGTGAATGATCGATCATCCCTAATTTCTTCAATCTCAATAGTTTACGATGCAATGTTAATAACTGTTAATGATAACATAAGAAGTAGACGGCAATAAACTGTATCTTGCACTGTTTGAAGCTTCAGGACAAGTTTCATTAAATCAAATGGGGAAAAGGGTAGTAAAGAAGACACATGAAAATTTCATGCCCATATTTAAGGTGAAAATTAAATGAGGGAAACCTATAACTTATGAACATACAACAGCTTTAAATGTCACCAATATTTGTACACATTTCATGCTCTGAAGTCACCGTCCTCCGTCCTCCTATGTAATGAAAGCAATTGTAATGACACGGCATCTCACAATTGGTGAAAATAGGGTGAATTTGCCCCTTCTTCACATAATTTCTTTGGGAAGTATTACAGGACTTTCTTCACATCAAAAAAGTTAGACCGCTCCTTGTTTGCAGCATTAACGTCATCTGGAGATGCCACAGCAACCACAACCCCTTTATCTTTAACCGCCTCGATTACTTCCCCAAATTCCTTAAAGTCGGATAACCTTTGAGGGAATAGAGGAAAATGCAACAGTTAATTTTAGTGAGGTTCAAACTACTCTTTTGAAATGGTAAAAAGAAATCAATTGTTATGCCATAAAACAAATAATTAAGGTGACTTGGCTGTTGTGCAATATTTGAAGAAAATCAATGTTTACATACCTCATAAGAGAGCACAAGAAAAACAAGCTCACTTGGACCAAATATCATTTAGGTTGTGCTTGTAGCAAAAAAGAGATGGCACTTTGGCAACCTTTTGAATTTATAAAGACCTTATTTTGAAGAATTAAATATTCAAAAAATTAATCATTACGAGGTCATTTAGCATTTAAGAGAAACTAACTCCACATCAATTATAATTCTATATCAAACGCACACGCCCACAACATGCACTTGTGGGGCTCAAACTCTCAACCTCCCCGTTTGGGGAGGAGAGATCATACCATCTGGGCTAGTGGCCTGGTAGTATCAATCTAGTCTAGTCAATGCTTCACAAAAAGACAATTCCAAACATATAGATCCTTGTCACTATAACATGCAGAAATAATTAATTAAGTTCCAATAATTCTACAAAACTTTCATCCCAAAGTCAATAATAAGCAACAAAATTTATATTTCTACACTAGTTAAGGTGTTCTGATTTCACTTTAACAGTTAAGGAAGACTATTTTAATCACTGGTAAAGAAGTCATGAATTTCTAAGAGATAAAGAACAGTGGCGGAACCACAGAGAGCCCCCAAAAATTTTTATTCTAATTTTATATGTATATATAATTGTAAACTAACCCACTAAAAATGATCAAAAAAGATATTTAGTCTAACGGTTTACTAGCCCTTTCTTTTCACAGTTTCTCTTTTCTTTTCCTAATTCTATACGACTCTCTTTCTCACGATCCACACCAAGATCCATTTCAGCCAAACGGATCTCTCTTTCACTCTCAATCTATCTCTAATACAAGAGCACGAAGTTAAAGAATTATATAAGTTCTCTTGCTCATTTTGCAAAACAAAAGTTTCACTTTTGGAAAAAAGTTGAAAACATGAATTTGTCAACATCATTAGATTGCTTGATTGATATATTGAGAAAGACATTTGATGGGATTGATAATGAGGTTATCATGCAACGCTTCCAAAACACAAAAATCGTGGAAGACAACTATAAAAGTATTGAACAGAAATATAAACAGAAAACTATTTTAAGTGCTTGTATTTATTATTTGGGTTCAATAAATTCTTTATCCTATTATTGTTTAAGGTTGCCCCAAGAGTAAATTTCTGAATCCATCACAGCTGAAAAAGAAAATGACGGTGATTAAAGCAAGTCCTACACATCCTAGGACTAGTAAAGAACGAAAAATGTATTTCTTTAATAGTTTTTTTTTTTCTTTATCAGCACTCATTAATGTGAATGAGAAACATTAAATCTGGTTATTCAACTTTAAGACTCTGGAAAGATATTGTTTGAGGAACTATATGTGGAGATGTTAGGACTTGCAAGTTGCAATCATCATACGTACTACCCCAGAAAACAACCATCACCTAATCCAGAAAAACCAAATGTAAAAATTATCATGGACCATTTTCATGATGTCATGTTGTACTGTAAAACGCTCGAGTATCAATGCCACAGCATCGAGTTCGAGCTTTAGAGCAGCCATTTGGAAAAACACCAAAGGTTAGGTCTGCCACAAGTCCTCCCTCCTCAGGACCCTCAATTTATGCCCATGATGTCTTTGGGTTCCATCTCACCAATATTATAATATTCTATTGCACTAAATGGTGGGGGACTGGGCTATGACAGCAGGGATGGCTGAGGCCTGTGATGCTATGGTGACACATTACACTTTGAGTAAATTATAGATTGAATCCTTGGTCAATGCATAAATTAGAACCGAAGAAAAATTTTACCTCGTTGATAATATCTCTTCACGTCTCCTTTGCCGTTCTTCTTCTGTGATGCCCAGTAGGTGTCTTAATAAACTGAAAGAGCCAGTGAACATTATTAATCACAAATGATCATATATACAATACAACAATCCAAAAAATTACAAACCACAAAAATATCAAAAACCTCCCCTGAAGTTTCTGACAATACCACTGACTATCCTCAGTTATATTCCTTTAAGCCATATACTTTAATTTACTTTCACCTCATATATCTAAATTTATTTGTTTTAATTCAAAATATTGAATATTCAAAATCAGAAATAGGACAGTCATCAATGGTACTGAATTGGCAACTCCCTTACATGGGGACCTATATCAAATTTATCAAATCCCCAAATATAAGGACACAGGGAGACAAATATTCATATCTTTTTGGATTATTGGTCCAAGTACATGCACCATTGACCATAATAAAAGAAATTTTGCATGATTATATAATTATTAAAAAAAAAAAAAAAAAAAAAGAAGAGAGAGAGAAGAAGTATGGGGCATGACATCATAAAGTCAGGGGACACCATTACGCAAGTCCAAGTGTTATCACAGATACTTCATATATTTGTAAAGAGTCCATGTAAAATGGATGGGGATGGTAAAGGATGGCTTCATTAAGTCAGGGGACACTATTGTTCACGGAAGGTTTTGACTCGCCCAATCCAGGGGAGGGAAAATAAGAAAAAAAAGACCAACACATAGTCACAAGCAAAAAGATCAAAAAAACATGGAAGACGTACAACAGCAATCACACTGGAACAATAAAACATTAAAGCAACGGTAGAAACAGTTCTCTGTGTCTTTTGGTTCTTTCTCACCATAAGGCTAGAATTCCCACTCAAATGTCATAATACAAGGAGACTACCTTCTAAGCTGAAAATTTCATTGTTTCCCAGAAGTTCTACCGTCAATATGTAGCATAAAAAATAAAAATAAAAATAAAGAAAAAAGCAAACAATTTGGGTTTACTGAAATATATAATGAAGATGAATTATTCCTCGTGCATTCTACCATACATATATAAATATATAATGAGAGAATGAAGGGGAGACAATTCCACGAAGAAAGAACGAGGCAGCCCACTTACCTACTATATCCTTTGGCATCAGGTAGCTGGTATGAATCCACATCTCCAATGGTCCCAATAATTGCTTTTGTAAGAGTATCATCATCCATTTCCAATTCACGTAGAAAATTACCAGTCCGGTCGTATACATCAAGTGTCTTCAACAAATTAGGATCCCGATAAGATAGGAATGAGAATACACCTACACAACAAGGGAATCTAAGGTAAGAGACTCAGCATTAGCAACTCAATCTGTATGCCAAAAATTTAACATAAAACTGTACCAGAATGAGTATCAAAATCGCAGAAGCCTCCATAAGCCCCACCACTAACTCGTACACGATCCCACAACCATGTATTACTAATGTGTTTAGAAATAACATATGCACTTCCCTTTAGCTGATAACCAGTCTCATAGATGTTAGCTGCTTTTCCGACATAATTAACCTGAAAATATAGCAATTTAATTTAATTAGGAAACCGATGCAAAAAGGAAAAAAAGTTGGAAAAGGACAGAAGTAAACACAACTATTTCACCTGAGTAGGTATCACAATGGCTTCATTTGTTGAAGGAAGTCTACCATTCCAAGTAGTTGATTCAACAGAAGAAGTTGCCGGAAGCAAATCAAGAAATTTGCCAACAAGTTTCTCTGAGTTACTAAGGTTTTTTTTATCAGCAGTCAAATTTATCAAGCAACCTTTCCTTGCAATTAAGGTTTTGCGTATCTCCTCAAGAGATGAAGAGATTCCAGTCCAGTCCTGATCAACTTTCTCTTCAAGGGCTTGTAGAAATTCCAGGTAACTGTAAGTACACCAAAAATGCAAACTATATTAATCCCATTATGTTTCTGAAAGCTCAACTTCTAATTAATTATGGTCCAGAAAGCTCAACTTCTAATTAATTATGGTCCAGAAAAGAAGTGAGATAACTTGGAGTGTTTGAAAATTAATTGCATATATTAGAAACTTTTCTCTGTTGTGTGTGTGTGTGTGTGTATATATATATAATAGCGAGAAATTGAGCCTAGAATACCAGTCAAATCAATTGGAATCAATCCAAATAGCCTGACCTGATACCACCCATTTGTTCACCAATCCATCCTGCAACATTTAACTTTGCATCCATCCTTGCAGCTGCAATACCATGACCACCGCCTCTTAATCGGTTCTGATAATAAAAAAACTCGAAAGAATTAGACATCGAAAAATAGGATTCACTTGCGACAACTGCTTACTGGAAAACTTAAGAAGATACCTCCATTCTTGCTCTACTTTGGGAAACGAATTGCTTGAAACGCTTTTGGTCTGTGAATTGAACCTCTTGAAGAATGCAGTTGACCTTCAATTAGCCAATGTGTATGAGCCCCTCAGCAATTTATTATCCACAAGCTATAGCTTGCTCAATCCAAATGACAATTTCAACAAGAATGTACAATGAAGGCATCACAGTATCTTAAGGTGCACATGCATATAACAAGTCTCTTATGGCATAATGGCATAATATCCGCAGTAAGAACTTCAATAGGCCTGGTTATAAACCGAAGCCAGCCAGCCATGAGAACAAATGACAAAACAATAGAAGACTTATAGAGTTGTAGCCGTAACGAACACATTCTTGATTAAAGGCAATGTCATCCATACACACATATATATAAAGAAAAAAATGAAACAAGAGAACAGTAGCAGATTCTTAAGAGTATTACAAAAATGCAAAGACAAGTTAAAGTTGCAGTTTTTGCACATTCTCTCGCATCTTTTCCCAGTTTGTAGGTACAGGAAGTTGTAGAACTACCACGGCTAAATTATGAGAAGTATAGATTGCACGTCATACTCTGAAATGCTTGAAATTCTCACTATGCATGTTCAACATCACTTCGATGCATTTAGAGGAAAAAAACATCACTTTGATGCCTTCACAGGTCCGGTTAGTACAAAATGTGATGATGTGCAAGTCAGCGGGTCTTACTAATGGTAAGGATTAAAAAAAAAAAAAACTATGTTTTAATTCTTCAACTATGAGAAAATAAGGATCAAAGCAAAGGTCAATCCACAGCAGTCAAACAATATCTTCATCCAAAACTACAACGAAAAAAATTCTGTAATGATAGTTAGGAGACCATGTTGACATTTATGAACCAATCCAGTCAGTTTTCTTCCAATGAAAAAGGCAATTGGTTTTCTTACTATGCAAGTTAAACATCACTTTGATGCCTTTGCAGATCTTGTAGTCTGGGGCTCTTGTCTCTTGTTCCATTTCTCTTCTATATTTTCTTTCCTCTATTTCATTAAGGACTCCCCTCCGGTGTGGCAATCTTTTTACATTCATATAGTATTATGTTTGTCATAAAAATTAAAGGGGAAAAGTACAAGGTGATCTCCATACAAAAGCCAAAGAAGTTCATAACCCAACTCATTGTTATTATCGTGGACATAGAAACATACCCAAAATACATTATTGTGGAAAATCAGATGCACATGCACGAACACAGACAGACACACAAATACACAGCCTTTATAATTGATGCTCTATAGACTATAGAACAAGAACACCTAATAATATAATTTTTTAAGGAACCAACTTAATTCCATGGTTTATGTTCTATATTCTCTAAAATCTACTAAAAGAAATAACATCCTCAGAATATTTGCCAGTTAATATGAATCCTTTTTTCACAAACCAATAAAGCTGAATATATCTATATGTGTGTATATTTGTATACTTGTTAATTTTATCAGATAAAGATACACCACAAATTAAATGCTGACCTCTAAAATGAGATAGAAAGTTGCTAGTTGTTTGAGAATATTGACATACTACTTTGTCTGTTTGTTGCAAATATAGCAACGAATTTTGAGTAGTTAGGGTGTTATCAGGTTTTAGTAGAGTTTTTCATGCAACAAAAGTTCAAAAATTATCTTTGTAACTGTAAGGACCTTCCTAATAGACTTTATTAAAATATTTAGCATGTCCTCTTTTCAGCATTTAGTACTAGGACGTTTTAATTCATATTTTAGTAATACCATGGCATTTAAAAGGAGTGATGTAACATAAGATTGTTGTCAATACACACTAACTCTATGTTACATGGACTCGGGGACGTGTGTCGGATACGGGTATGTATCAATGCGCCGGACGTGTCAAATCCCTAAATACACGCGGACACTGCTAAATATTCATTTTATTTGATTAGTTCTTTTTTTTTTTCTAGAGTAAAGTAATATTTTATGTAATATAGTGTTTAGTATAGGCTTTTCACTCATTTTAAAGTAATAATACGATATTATTGAATGACTGGATATGCTTTTTAAGTACATGTCCAACCAAAGGTGTCAGACACACATCCCATACCCATGTCCGAGCAATATGTGTCCGACATGGGTACTTCACTACTTTAGATGAGTCCATGTAACATAGCACTAACTATACAAAAGAAACTCGATTAAACAGTTCACCACAAAACTATGTTGACCCAGCTAGCAGAAAGCCACATGGAAATTAATTTTAAATATTCAATGCTGAGATATATTATTTCCAACTATAATTACAAAGTCATTTACAAAGTACAAAAAGATAATATACCAGGTTAAATAGATCTTCGGTGCGTCCTGACATGGCTTTGCCTCGAACAATTATATGGCTACATGGATCCTCCTTGCCCCGCATTGATGATGTGAAAGGATATACTGATATTCCTCCAGTTTTCCTTCCAATTAACTGATTAAGTTGCACAAAGTCCAAGTCTTTCGTACCCATCTCCAGCAACGATTGACTGTGAAACATTTAGGAAACACCAATGCAGTTTAAAATTTGGATGCATAATACTTAAATCATCTTTGAAAAGTGAGTATGCTGTATGCAAGCTAGAGCTTCCTATTCCTGTATAGTATCCCAATAAAAAATTTCTTTGGTAAACTACCCCAACTGCCCCTAAGGTTTGGCTTAATTACCCTCGTCTTAAAATTGTGGAAAAAAATTAGTCAACCTCCCTTAAGATTTGTTTGAAATAACTCTGACATCCTTTGCCATTAGTTAACCATTAGTCCAGTTAAAGCCAGTCAAAGAATATATACAAAAAACTAAAAGTACCCTTTTGTGCAACAAAATGACAAAATGGACCTCACCATCTAGATGGAATTAACATTTCAACCATAATTATTCGGACAAAAAATACTCCTACATGGTCAACACTTGGATTACTAAAGGGAAACATACTCTGTCTGTGTCTCTCTCTCTCTCTCTCTCTCTCCACTTTCTCACTCTCTAGTCTATACTGTTAACAAGTCTGGTTAGTCTGAACTCGATTTGACAATTTGACGAAGTCTTAATCCCAAGGACTGGGAATTTGCCCACAATGTGAAACCTGTTGCTGAGGATCGCTTGCAATCACTCATGGAAATACACAATCATCAAATTGTAGTATTGTACAGTCTAGGTTTAATTTTTCGTTTATGGTCACTTGTAAACTTTAAATGACAAAATGGACCTCACCATCTATATGGAATTACTATTCAACCATAATTATTTGGACCAAAAACACCCCTACATGATTAACACATGGATTACTAAAGGGAAACATACTCTCTCCGTCTCTCTCTTTCTACACTTTCTCACTCTCTACTCTACACTGTTAGCGATTCTGGTTAGTCTGAACTCGATTTGACAATTTGACGAAGTCTTAATCCTAAGGACTGGGAATTGGGCCACAATGTGAGAAACCTGTTGCTAAGGATCGCTTCCATGACTCATGGAAATACACAATCATCAAACTGTACAGCCTAGGTTAAATTTTTGGTTTATGGTCACTTGTTCACTTTAAATTCAAACTGTCTATTAATTCCAGATTCCTACAAAGCAAATTACCAGAAGCTTTGGCAGAGAAATGTCCGCTGATTTTATGAATTTAAGAACCATGCTTAACCATTTTCAGCAAGAGCTTACCTGATCAATGTGAATTAGTAGTACCACTACATATTGTCAAAAATATCAGTTAGAAGTGGCTTTCAGTTATATATAGAGTGTGGCTTTCGGTTTTATATACTGGTTATATATATGAACTCTCAGATTTTTGTAAGAGATACCAGAGACCGTCTCAGAGATTTGCGTTAGAGAGAGTAAGATTTTGTGAGAAAGAGGAGGTAGACAAGATCAAAGCAGCAGGAATACATTGGTCATTTTAGTTTTGATTGCTTACATCAGCATCAAATATGACTCTGATGTATTAAAATTGGGTAGTTTGGTAATTGCTCAGCGGACATTAACCCTCACAATGGTTCATAACTCTGATAGGGATGCAAGTGTTACTGCTGCAAATCTTTAAGCTGAGAGTAATTAAGCTAAATCTTGAGGGAGGTCGGGGTAATTTTACCATTTTTTTATGATCATTAATTTGATAGTTTCAATAGCCCACATTCAGGTTTTATATAAAAGGCTTTGCACTGCAATCCTCCATTATTTAGGACAGAATATCGCCAATAACTATAAAACTGAGACATTAAACAAGAATATTTGTAAACCAGCTTGATTTCAAGCTAGGAGGATTGTCTATTGATGTTATTTTGCTCAATCGGCTGAAAGAAATGTTCAGAGAGGAAAAAAAAAAAGGCATAACAAACCCTAGAGAGAAAATGTAGTCAACTTATCAAATATGGGAGTATCAACTATATGTATGGACACGACTAAGACCATGTACGGTAGGGTGGTAGCGGAGGCAGGAATACCAAGGAAATGGGCAGCAGGTCAATTGCAGACATATGTTCATATTGGAACCAATGGGACAATGGACATTAACCCAAATGGTATGATCTATCCTCCTCAAAGGGGAGGTTGAGAGTTCGAGCATTGCTAGGAGCAATATTGTCGGTGTGTGCGCAATTGCTTGGACTTTTGGGAGGCAGAAAAAAAAAAAAGTTTATATAGGGACTATGTCATCTAACAGAACAAATTCCAGAAGAGGACCCGCAAGTTCTGTTCGTTTAGAACATTGTTTCAATTGACAATCGTACAGTAGGCATATAGTTTAAATTTAACCACTCAAAAGTAAGTTACAAGAAGGAACTTTAGTGTAAAATGGTTATAGAATAACCTAACAAAAGCAAACGGGTATGCATTGCATTTTTTTATTATTTTGAGTATCGAGAAAGAGAAAGAGTACTAAAGATTGGTAGTAGTGAATTTAAGCCCCAAAAAAAAAAAAAAAAAAAAAAAAAAATGCTTGTGTGAAACAGCTTTAAAAAAACTAGAGTAGGATATGTTATATGGAATGCCTTATTTTTACAAGAATACAGAGGTTCTGTATTTTGTAAAGCTAGAATTAGAATAATGAAACTTGGCCTAAAATTGCAAAAAGGTAATCAATTTTGTTCTTTTGGATCCATAACCCAAATCAGAGTTAAACCAAAGCATCAAAAGATGCAGGATGGGAGAGAGAATGAGAGGAAAGAGGATAGAGAAGAAGAAACAGGGGAATAAATCTCTGTAATCAATCAATAATCATCAAGAGTGTTTTCTCAATGTCACAAGGCATGTATATATAAGCATCATGTAGAAACCTAATCAAACTCTATGACCAAAAATAAAACCTTAAAGAAATAAGGAAAATAAAATTTAAAATATAAAATAAATTCTAAAAATCATCCTCTACGCCTATGCATGTCATAAGTAGGTAGACCATGCGACTCATCAAAATCTCCATCATCAAGTCTGTGGTCAAGTTCCTAATACATGTTTGATGCAAATGATTCATGGTGCTTGGAAAGTTAATGCAGTCAATAGTGTCTTGAAAAGTGTCTAGTCAGAGTTTATTAAGTAGTAATTATGGTATGGGAATCTGAAGATGTCATTGGAATAGTAAAAGATATCATTAATTCTTTGTGGGTAGCTTGAAAGTCAGTCTCGACAAGTGAACTGTCATTAATAGTTTTATTATAAAAGGGACGGCCCTCATATCTGCTGTAACCAAGTCTTAAATCAGTATTATTTTGAAATATTATCAGTTTATAAACAATTCTTCAGGCTTTTCCCAGATTTCCCTTTAACAATCTAGGTTTCGACGTTGATTGGAGTAACCCTAATCTTTCTTACGGCTGTAAAAAGACTTCTGTTTTATTTCTGTTTGCTTCAATGTTGCACAGAACAAAGAAAAACAATACGTCCACAAGTCGGCAGAATGGAATTGATAAGTTAAGATACTGGTTTGTGAGACTTCAGGATAGGATAAGAAAACTGATTCATTTGTAATCGGTCAGAGTTAGCTCCAATTGACGATTAAGACACATGCAAGTTGTTAGCTAGCAGTTTGGGCACGCACAAAGCAAGCCGGTGATTGCACTTAGTGATTTGTTTCAAATAGTAACTTACCAAAATTTCAGTTGAGGCAACCATATTTCAGATAGATTTGAAGAGGGAATGATTTATTAAAGGATGTTGCCGTCAAACGAGCTGAATAGCAAGAAAGATACAAAATGTCAAGCCCGTGTAGTGAGTAATAAGGATTTTTTTCCCCGATAAGTAAAAAGCTTTTCAAGTAAAAGTATGTAATAAGGATTTGCTCATCCCTATGCTGTAGCTTATATTAGTTTATGTTCTTTTCTCTTTCATTTTTTCCTGTTTTTTTTCTCTCTTTTCAATGGAGAAGGATATACAGACAGATGGTAGTAAGATAGCCATGCAATCAAGTTCCCAACCCAAGCATACTTTGAGAGAGTGAGAGTACTGGGGGGATTTTCAAGTTATAGAATCCAGAATCTTCAACCCGAAAAAATAGGATAACAATTAGCTATTATGTCAAAATCTCACCAGAAAAGTGGTACCAAAGGAAGAAGCTCAGGCTTCAGTGAGCTCATATTGAAGACGATTTCAGAGTATAGAACGTCATTTGTGAAGAGATCATGCTGCAAAACTTTTACCCCATTGATATCACCAACCTACCATCAACAAAAGCAAGCCCAATAAGATTATCCAATCCATAAGGGAAAGTCATATGGCACTCAAATACATGACGAATAGATTTATTATTACCTCTATGGGAACAAGTATAGGTTTTTTCGGAATGTCACGCAGAGAGAGGCTTGGTACACTTTTAAGAGCTTCCGGCGGGTCGGGAGTTTCTTGCTTCAACCGTAACTCATGTGTAGCGCGTGCTAGTTCAGCAAGATCTTCTTCAGTCATGCTTGATTTAATTTTATCCAAAATTTCTTTCTCAGCTGCTTCATCACGAGAAGCCTTCTCTGGATCAGGCTGCAAATTTCACAGCCATTTAATAAAAGCATTAAGTAAACATAAGAAGTGAAAAAATCTGAGTTCAAAAGATCACCTGCATTTCAACGGTTACACGGTGAGGGTTATTCAAGATGAATTTCTCTATTAAAGGAGCAAAAACAGCCTTGGAGCCTTCCTCAGCTATTCTGTCTTTCAGGGCCATCAGAGGTTTTTGATATTTTAAGGGTTCAAATGGATCCATATCGTATATCCATTTCCCCTACAAAATAAAACTCTAGATAAGCATTCAGAATTATACATTATTTGGTAAACAGTATCAATGAACCCACCAACCCCAACCCCCCCCCCCCCCCCCCCCCAAACGACACACACACACAACACAAAAGGGGGAAAAAAACAAGAAAAAAGAAGAAGAAGAAGAAAGAAATCCCTTACCATGGAGCGAAGCATCAGGGCTAAGCCACGGGGAAATGACCCAGTGTTGTTTTCTCTTAGAGAGAACTCAATTGTGTTCATGGATGCCTCCACGGCATCAGAATCGAAACCTTCCTCTACTAAAGTTTTAAGTGTACTCATGATCACTTCTTCAACCTTCGGTATGTTATCTTCAGAAACACCTTTCAATCCAATACTAAATTGGGGCTGAAGTAGCTCATCTTCAACCCCACCCCCAACCGTAGCATCTCCCAGACCACTTTCCAACAGGATTTTCCTCAATGGAGCAGCAGGAGTTCCCAACATTAGATGATCTAAAAACCCCAGGGCAAGTTCTGTTTCCATGTCTAGGGGTTTATCAGAGATCAACCAATTCAGGCACACCATGTGCTTCTTTTTCAGGTCACCACCTTCAGCAGCAGGATATTTCTCAACAATCCTGACTGGCTTTGAAAACAGCTTCTGGGGTTTAACTATTGATTCTTTGGGAGCAGAACTTTCATCAAACATATTAAGATAGTCTGCATAACAAAGGAATCATGAGATGCAACACATTTATATGCTGGGACTCCAAGACTTGCTACCTTTAAGACAAAAATAGGTAGATTCATTAAGTTTATGGCTTGACTTTCTGGTTTGTAATGTCAAAATTAGAGACTTAAATCATGATTGTAAGATCACATGATATTCTGGCACATTTAAAAAATAGATTAGAATGTACAAATAGATATCAAATACACATTTTTCTTATTTTTGGTGATAAGAACCAAACTCATTATCCACCCCTCCCTTTTTAGATACCAAGCCAATATCTTCTCACAGTGCCACAACGGCTTCCTCAAATACCGAATATAAATAACATAAAGTATATACACAGTATATCAATAATATATGTCTATAATACTTTACATCTTGACAGAATTGCCCAGAACCACCTTACATAGAACTTATTAAGATGACTGGTTATTGGCTCAACTGACCACGTCTGGTCAGGTTTCAAAACACTGCTGATATTTCTGGGACTCATCTCCTTTGCTATCACTTTTTTAAAAAAAACTTCGCAAGAAATACACACACGCCCACTTTTGCTCCTAAGGAGACTGGAACCCTTAACCTTCTACTTTGCCATCTCACTTTTACATACACAAATTGTAATGAAGAAAGTGATAAGAATTCATTTAGAGCTATTTCAATGAATAACAAATACCATTCAAGATGCGTAGCCTCTCCTTTGGGTCATCATCTCCATAAAACCATATCCTGGCATTGCTGGGATGGTAAAATTTACGGTGAAACTCCTGTAAATTTTAATATAAAAGGGGCAAAAAAAAAAAAAATCACCACAAAATCATAATCATAAAAACCACAACAATTGATGTATCATCACTTCTCCATTTACATGCTTGAAAACCCAAGACTGCAATAACACATCATATACAAAATATAAGTATATGCATGCATGTACAACAAAATATAAACAAGAAAAGGATCCACAAAGAATTTAAAGCATTGATTCTGAGAAATGTTTTAAGATGGACTATTGCAACATGGATGGTGAAATTCCAAATTATGAAAATCTCAGGGAGCGTATAGTAACGTTTCCACTTTCTGTTTTTGCAGTCTAAGAATGCAAAATCACTATTTTGCATTTTGAGTGGAAGCAGAATGCAGAATTGTCGTTTATTGTAGCAGCCACAATTTTGAAAACAAAAAACAAATAATTACATTTAATAACACATATTTGTTGCAAGAAATACATATTTTTTTCTTTTTTGGTTACTTTAATTCATCTATTGTATCATAAAGTTTTCAAACATGACCACCGTCTGCTATTCAAGTATAGACAAGAGAAGAAGAAGAGAGCATTAAAGAACTTACTATGTTTGGTACGCTGCAGTGGAATGGAATGGAATGTCCATTCTAGCTTGTCATTCCCTTTATCATGTTTGGTAGGTAACAATAAAGTAAGAATGTTCATTACCTTGGAATAGTCATTACCATAAAATGTTGGAATGACCATTTCTCTTCAAGAGTTAAGGAATGAGCGTGCATTCCAACAGAGAATCAAAATAAGATATATTAAGACAAAAACGTCATCACCAAACATGTGTATAAAATACATATACATGCATTATGTGTAACATTCGTATGTGATATATAATATATTTAATATAAGTATATTATAATAAATAAATATATTAAATAATATATTTTACGTGTAATAAAATATATAATATATTACAATATTATAATACAAATATGGTAATATAATATTATAAAATATTTATTGCGTGATGATTTATTAATATTACAAATAATACGTAGCATTAGCATATAACATGAATTTTATTTGGAATCAACAATGCCCATGTGGTAACAGTACCAGAAACGTTTTTGCCGCTACAATGCCAAAAGCAAAAGGAAACATAAAAAAGATGTTTTCCTTTTTCTTCACAAAAATGAAAAATGTTTTCCACTTTAGAAAAAACAAAAAACATATTACTAAACATGATTTTTGGTTTTGTCCCCCTTAAACCAGCTTGTTTTGGAAAAATCTAATCATAACATATAGGAGTAGTTGGTAATAACTATTTTCCTGATGAAAAATCATAAATCTATCAAAATACATATATTTGGTAAAAGCCCATTAGTCATTATCATGAGCGAACTTTCATTTATCCCAAATGAACGGAGTTGGCCAATGCATATTATAAATAACGATAATGAACGAATAAAGGAAAATCAGACACATGTGAACATTCAAAAGCCAACAAGAAGAGAACAATAAGATTAGTTAACACAAATAACACCATCGACTGTCCACAAGAAACATAGAAGCTCATCCGAAACATTGTCATTCCATTCCTCAATGTAGTTGAAAGAGTTAGCAGCTATGTTCATGACTATCAATCAATCAATTGTTGTTCAGGAATGTCTCAACTCTCTAATTTTAAATATAGAAAAGTTCTTGTTTGCAAATTTTTAGATAAGAAGGAACTCTAACACTTACCTAAGAAGGAACTTGTTAAAGGACTATAAAATTTAAGTTCTTGTTTGCAAATTCTTGGCCACCTCATTCTTAATTATAGCATCAACCACGTCCTTTCCCTCAACCAACAAGTGAAGAACCCTTAAAGACTGCTCCTCATTACCTTCCGACAAAACTCCCAGTAATTCACTTATAGCGCCAATATACTCCTACTTATCCAAAAAAAAGAAGAAGAAGATAAGAAGGAACTCTGTGGGGCTTGCCTCCCGTTACCTCAAAGCTTGTATAGATATATGTTAGATGGAAAACCACTAGAGGTGATTATGTGAGCAAGAATTGCTTCACGACTCATGTATTCTTCAGCAGTATTGTTCAGATATAATACACACATAGAACTCAAGTATTGGCTGTCCAATACACTGAGCAAGAGTAGAAACTAGTGTTTGATATTCTATCTTTGTATTCCTCTATAATTGATGTTGTGCATCAAGCAGGAACAACGTGGCTTAAGTGTCATATTAAATTCAAAAACTTGAGTTGTTTCACAGGCACACACATGCACATTGTCATAAAGTTAGTAATAGTTTATCTAATATATCAGAGCAAGATCTCACAGAAGTACCAGCTAACAAGCTCTGTTACATAAAATGTGAGCGCACAACCAACAAATGACCACATGGATATTATATAAAACAATAAATATGTGTGTTTGTATGTATATACAAGCGGCTGCAGATTCAGTCCTTTCCATCTAAATATCTAACAAGCACGTTAAAAGGGAATCTAAAAAAGAGCACCTACAAAGTTCTATCACCAATGGCATGAAGGCTTCAAAAGATCAGACCAATACAGGTTCACCATTATTTTCATTCCAACTCTAGCCAAAAAAAAGTAAAGGTTGCTCGTGACAACCATTGTCTCAGTTCAGACCATAAGAGAAAATCAGAAGAAGCATGCAACATTAGAATATCAACACCAGGGTTACAAAAAGGGCAGTCATATACCAAGTTATCAACACACTAGGGTTACAAAAAGGGCAGTCATATACCAAGTTATCAACACACTAGGGGTACAAAATGAGCTAACATGAATGTAACAAACCTTGAATTCCTTATATGTAAGTTTGGGAATAACTTGTGGATCACCTCCACTGTCAACACCATAGGTATTGTCTGGAAAAAGAGCCTGCAACGTAATATAACATAAGCTTGTAACATTTATTAATATAACTGCTAAAGTCAGATCATTTTAGTAATAGAAATTGACTCTGATTTTCACATAACAAGGTAAACCATATAAAAAACGTTAGAAGCATTTAGTGTATTCTGGACATAGATTCTCAAACTAGCAACAACATCATACATATGCCCAAATGACATCCAGCACAAACAATGAAACATATTCTATCAAATCAATATTAAACAACGGCAGAGAGAGAGAGAGAGAAGGCCACTAAGCCATAGCTGCACTTTAACACTTACAAGTGTCCTCAAGCTGGTCGGCCCAAATTTTCACCATTGCACCAAGCAATGGCCGCAAGTATTAGATAACGGAAAATGCACTACACATTGGCCAGTAAGATTCTAAACGTAAATACATCATAGTATCAAATACTGGTATTTATGTAATGTAAAGACCATTATGTAATGGGCTGGAAGGGATCTGATTGGTTATGCAGAATTATAAAATTTGTTACAACATAAACATAAAATATATACAGCTCCAATGACTATGTTATGGTGAAGAAACCAATTCTTATAGTACTGTTCATGGAGTCGATAAGCTAATTCCTGTGGATGTCTATTTACCGGGCTGTCCACCAACACCGGAAGCAGTTATAGATGCTATAACAAAACTTCGTAAGAATATGTCTCGAGAAATCTATGAAGATAGAATTAGGTCACACCAGGAGAATCGGTGTTTTACTACCAATCACAAGTTTCATGCTGGGCGCACCATGAGGACGGGGGGGGGGGGGGGGGGGGGGGTGGTGCGGGGCGGAGAGGGGAGGCATCAATGAGTACAGCTACAATGGTTATGTTATGGCGGAGAACTGAATAGTGTGACACTATGACCGTTAACTGTTAAGTTACCGAATTCCACTTTTGTTTCCAAGGGAATGTTGTTATGTTGCCTAGAAGGGTGCACTAATCCTTTGAATCTGGATTTAAAACCATGATATACAACAAAAATTGCAGGAGTCGTCGTTTAATTTAGTGGCAAAAGTTCAAGCTTCCAAGTGTTAATATGCATAATCAAGTCTAAGAGTATCCACTGTGTAAAAATAATGTCAAAGATTCATCTACAAGATTGTACCTAGTCCATCCCTCCCAGCACTGTCAATTAACAGGGACCAACTTCACGTAATAGCCTTCAGTACAAAAGAAATGGTAGTGGTAGCGTATCAAGAAAAGATTTAACCATGCATATAGCCAGGAGGTCGCCTAGGGCCCCATTTGGGGAAAGAGCCCCCTATTACTGCTT